TTCGAAAACACGGCTATACTGCACCTCGGCCCCATCGCCAGCTCCATCCCCAGACAATTACCCAAAAACAAGAACCTAGGTCAGGCCTAACCTCCTCCCTTCAGCGCCTTGAAACCTCGATATCTGGACGCAGCGTGCCTACAGCAAGAGAACTGTGCCTGTCGGAGGCTGAGTGCGGCAATGTAGAATGTGACTTGAAGATGATGCAGGAACCAACAAAATCCAGCAGCCACAAACACAAACCCTAACCTAATGTCGCCAGGGTCATTGTGCTGTGCGTTTATTTTCCACACAAACTCGCGTCATGTCTTTGTTGGCCCGTCCTATGCCATGCAGCTAAGGTAGCAAAACAGAATAGTCAGTTCACAGTTATTGTGGTTGAAGTACATCACATCAAACCGCCTTGTATACGTACCTGAGTTCCCACCTTCCAGTTTAGATTCATTATGGAGAACTACCGGAGATTTTTCCACTGCAGTTCTCCACCTTGTCTTATTAATTGGCTCAGACTTTTGTTGTGGGGGGCTCTTCCTTCCACAAGGTCACTCACCACTCACGCAGTTACCACTTTAGTAGGTACAAGTCTTTCAGCCACCAACAATCAGTTTCTTTTTCTCTTCTTCCTTTCTTTTTTTCTTTCCTTTAGCAAAATCTCCCTAATAAACAAACGCCAACATTTTGTTCCTTCTCTTGTTCGGTTTGATCAGACTTTTGATTCCGCCAAGACTTGGCAGCTAATACCCCATCACTAACAGGTGCCGTATAGACCAGATGACATTCAACGACGACAGTCAAGCTCTCATCAACACCTTCGTTGCCAACGCCCATCGTATATCCGACGCAATCGAGAGCTCGACCAGAGAGCTGGCACAGTCTCTCTTGGACCTAGATGCCAAGTTTGCATCGACCCTTGATTTTGTCGAGCTTCGCTGTCGCCTTCCAGATGATGTAATTGACATTGTCTCCCGAACCCTGCTTCAGATCCCCGATCTTCTCAACGCAGAGCACGCGAGAGCCAAGATCAGAAAGGCTGCCACCGCATGGGCCGTCACCTCCGGCCACATGGTGTACTTTTTCGGCTGGCATCACGGATACGACTTTTGGAACCAAGTCAAGCTTTTGGCAGACACGACGCCCGGCGCATTCACCGACACGTTCAATCGCCTCAGACAGGTTGCTCGCGATCGACGCGCACCAGGCGCCACCTTCGGACGGAGAGGTGTATGCAAATCCGCGCCCGGCATCATCAAACACGACGTCACCGTTGTCTTGAGGGAACATACCAACGTGAGTTGACACCGTTCGTCCGTTCGTCCGTTCGTCCGTCTGTCTGTTTGCCCGTCTGCCTGCTGGCGGCTGCTTTGTCTTTTTGCCAACCTTATTCCTCGCCACCTGTCCTGTGCCATGTCTTCATACTGACCTCAGCCAACAGCCCACGTTCAACAATCCGACCGAAATCGCCGAGAATACAGAATACGCTGCCAAGGCAAGCCACGCGACAGCTGCAAAGACGAATCGCTCCATTCCCCACATCCGTCCCGCCATAATCAACGAGGCTTCCGGGCAAAAGAAAGAGGTTGTTGGCTCGACACAAGAACGCTCGGACACCCTCAACCCAATGGTCCTCGAGAACAGATCGCCCAAAGCTCTCGACACAACCAAGCCTCCCAGGGAACAAAGCTTCGACGACTCACGGCGCACATCCCACAGCGATAGTGGCGTGGACCTGGGTTTCTACGATAGTCAATCGGAACCATCAGAGGTCGACGACGACCAACTACGTGAACTGTCCACAGCTCCGACGACCGTTATCAATACAACAACAAGCGAGATGCCTACCCATAAGCGCAAAGCCTCTGCCGTCACTCCCTTGCAAGGAACAGAAGTCTCTTTGACAATAGAAGAAGGCAAGTATTGTTATGCTGTGCTACCGATTCTTCGCTAATCATGATTTATGGCCAGACATGTCTCAGGCCAGCTCAAAGAAGCAGAGGAGCACCATGGCTGCTGACGAACCAACCGAGCTGGGCGACAAATCGGCGATTTTGAGTAATCCCGACTCCTTTCTCAAGGAATTCTTCGGTCCATGGAACGATTGTGCCGTCTTAGAAGCCCTCGTACTTGACTCCGACGACCCCATCAACAAAACAAACCGGAAGACACTACGAACCCTTGCCTCAGGCACCTCCACAATGTCTCTTTTTGTTCCCTTGCGCTCTGGGGACTCTCAATGGTCATTCGGTATCGTTCGACTAGTCAAGGGAGAACCGGCATACTTTCATCACTACGACTCAGACCCGGACCAAACCAAGACTGGCGTACTCGCCGACGTCATCAACAAAATACTCGATGAGTTGTGCCCAGAAGAGTGTAGCTCAGCAGCCAGCCTCATGTCTCGACGCATCTCTCCTCGCCATACGTGCCCGAATGACAGCGGCATCTACCTTGTCGCCAATGCATTGTACGTCTACGCCGGCGTCGAGCGACCCCAGCGTTTCAACGTCCAACTCTGGAAGTACATTGTCGACACTGTCCTGCAGCAGTCTCCTACCTTTCCCGACACATTCACAGTGCAACAGCCCCAGCCCATCGTCGTTGAAGACGTGCCTCGACTGAGTCCGGGGGCGACGGCGACAGAGTGGACTGAGTGGCAGCACCAATTGTTGGAGGTTTCAAAACGCAACAGCAGCGCAATAGCTGCAGAATGGAACAGCATGATTCAGAAGACGACTTCAATCAGGAACGACATTGAAGATGCCTTTGCCGTCATCTCGCACGCTGTTTCCAAGCGCACTCAGCTTGGTGAGCCATTCGCCGATGGCGCAAACCTTTTGGGAAAGCTCTTGCAGGAACTGGGGGAACACTCACGGTCAATTGGTGTTGCGATTGTGGACAGCGAAACGGAAAAGAAGAGGCAGTGCATTGCGTTGTGTCTTTCCCACAGACGATAGTGGTTCTACATAGATAGGAGTGTGTGGTAGGTCATAGATGGATCAAGATAGCTATAGATCAAGCCTAAATAATGATCTTGATCAGGGTTTGAGATGGGCCCTGTTGCGCCCTCTGTGTAGGCCGTTTGTCGAAAGCTGGCGACCAGGCTACGTGCTGGGGCGTAGTGATGTTGTGAGCTCTGGCGGGAGTCACGTAGTCTTGCGCCTACGCGAATGATCGCCTTGGCAAGCTCTGATGCTGCTTCGACGTTGGCTGTAGAGGAGAAGGCATCATAGTGCAGTGCTCGATGACCTATGTGGTCTGGCCAGTCTCGTCCGGTGAGCCCGCAGGCGCCCATCTTATGGAGGAGGCTCGTGCGGCCGTTGGCAGCCATCATATGGAGGGCGGTGACGCTGTGGACTCGACAAGACGACGGAGATTGTCGGGATTCACAGACTCTACGATTCGAAAAGTGTACGGGAGAGGCGGCGTGTCTTTGTCCGCCCCGGGGCGATGCGGGCCAAAGGGCGCAAGACTAGCGTGCAGAGCTTGGTCGTGCATGACGGCACAGGGCATGGCATGAGCTTGGCGGTTTGCTCTTGCGAAAGACGCGATGTCGCCCACAGTGACTTCTGCGAGGACTCGGAACCACAGCTTGAGAGGAAGCGTCATTATTTTCGCCGGCGTCGGCTGCAGCTTTCTTGCTGATTAAATAATAGGCGATTGTTTTGCGGAACTTGATGTTGAAGGTGCTTGAAGTTGTAGCCAAGGTTGAGAAAAGAAGAACGATATGCCACTAAAGCAGAATACCTAAGTACCTCTACCTACCCAGAGAAAGGTAGGTGGGTATCCACCCAGACCTACCCAGGTTACAACACAACACAGCATAATACAGCACAGTATTATACAATATAATACGGGTTGTATTTAGCCTACGCGTTGTTGTCGCCTTCTAACACACCTGCACCATTTCTACTGCTTGTTGTCTGCCTCTCTCTAAACGCCCTAACTGTTTGTGCGCGTCTGCTGTAGTCAGTAGGCAGCGCGCAGGGGCAGGCTTGGCCGAGCGACCACAAGCTGAGTAATATACTGTGTACCTTGCTCACGGACTTTTGCATGGTCACTATACGTACATGAACGCCTAATGTATCCGACCAAGTGCTGTGTGTTGTTCCGGGCTTCCAACGAGTTTTCACACACACTCACACACAAAAACTCGTCGGAAAACCCCCAGAGCCAATGACAGCCAAGCGAGGGTACAAATGCCGCAACCGTGCGCCCATCACCCAGCGGGTTGGGGAGATTCCAACCTGGACCGCCCTAGATCTCGGGCCTAAACAGCATGCTGCAGCCTCCCGTGTGTTCCCTGAGGGATTTACCCGCTAATCAGCGACAGCCAGCCAGCCAAACTCGCCAGCCTATTTAGCCGGTCTGCAAGGAAGTTCTTCTAAATCAATCGATCCACCAAGGCTGAACAATCTACCCCGTCATGTCATATCTGCGGGCGCCGAGGTTGAGAGGAACGAGTAAGAACCCGCTGCTATGGGGCAGCCCGCCTCTTTTCCGTCAGCCGCTCACTCATTCACTGCTAGTTTTGCGCCGAACACTAGAAGAACATACCGCGGCGTCAGCATTGGAATCCATCGCAACCAATGTCTGTCTCTGCGGGGGAAAAGAGCTTCTCAAACAATAGGTATGTCGGTCTAGGTAGTTACATGCAGGATAGAAAACCTACCTACCTAACTGGGAATGACGGGTTGGTGCACGTACGTACCTCTCTGGGTTCTCGGCGTCCGCCGTGCGATACCTAGACCCAAGTTCCCTAGATGCGCCTCTGTCTACGTAGGGAGCGGGAGCGGTATAAGTGGTGTTTGTTCGTTTTTTGATGGTGGGGATTAAACAAGCAACATATAACCAGACAGTATCTGCAAAGCCTATTACTATTCTCTCCTCCTGCCCTAACCTTACTTAACACGCCCGGCTATTAGGTAATAATTGAGTGGGACTATAACACCTTAGTATGCGGATCTCCTGTATCATCGCTGCCACAGCTGCGGCTTTCGCCGACGCTTAGTCATAAACCACTAGGGTATAGGCATCTAGACACGTACATGTACAGTAAAAATACTAATTATTCTTTACTACAGGCCCTTGGCAATGCCTTAGTCGTTACAAACCCACAGGATTTTGTATACAAGGCAAAACTGCCCAAGATGCCGTTCTTTAAGCAAGGTTCGTTGAACGGCAACGTCCAAGGGTCTATTGTCGCTATGACAGCTCTGGATGGCAACAGGGTCAAGTTTACCGTTGGCTTCTCAAACCTGCCTAACAAGGGCAGCCCTTTTAGTCCGTCGGAAACCACATGCGAAGATACCAGTCCAGTTCTGTTCTAACCTGCTAGAGCCTACCACCTCCATGTTGATCTGATCCCAGAGGATGGCAACTGCACCAAAGCACTCGCCCACTACAACCCTTTTAACCATGTAAAGACTGCGCCATGCGATGCCTCTAGGCCAGAGACCTGCTAGATTGGTGACCTAAGCGGCAAGCACAGGTCCATGACGCGTGACTATGAACAGACATATATTGACCACTATCTCTCAATTATGCAAGGACTAGGATCCTTCTTCAACAACTAGAGCTTTGAGTTCCACTTCACGAATAAGACGTAAATCAGCTACACTAACTTCAAACTAGTCCAGTGGCCTACCCTATACAGCAACAGTACCAGCGCCTCTAACACCGTTTACGTAACAAATGCCCTGGCTACAGTGACTCCTTATAGTAATGTACTATTCGTTAGCGCTGCTTCTATAATAGTTGTATTACTTTATTTACTTGGCGTAGTATTTACCTTTGCTGTTTCAAGTGCTATTGGCGACGTCTGAGTCAGAATTAAGGCCATTCTAAGCATTAGAGATCACCTGAGCCTGGCATTGTGGCGTATTACAAGGAAATCTTAAGAGCGGCTTCTGCTTTACAGGATGTGATCTGAGTGGTAGCGGGATAAACCAGTGCTTCTGGCTACAACGTCTTCACTGTTGACAGAAGTAGCTCTACTACTGGATTTGGATTAGCTATTTCTTGTATCTGTAGAACAGTTGCTGTTTTATTTCTCTTATAAAGTCTTGTATTATACTCTGGCTTTACCTATAGATGTAACAGTGAGTTCTGGTCAGCGACTTGCTGTGAATTAATATATGATTGCCTGTATATATCGTATTTTATTGTCTCTTGAAGGAGGTCTTCCCAGCTAGACTTAGACCTCTTAAAAAAGCCGGGTAGGTAAAAATCGCGTTCAAGAGACAGCGCTTTCTCCTCGATTTAAGCTTTTTCTTGGGCCCTGTCGGCTTTGGACTTGGCCCCGTCGACTTCTGCGTCTGCCTGCGCGACCATGTTACTGATACCATAATCGGTCTCCAGATCTGTGATTCCGGGCGAAGTGCAACCCTTCTAAGCCGCGGCGTCGTCTGTGTCTTTACACATTGTGCTGAGACCTTCATTCTCGTCGGGCTTTGTGACGCTTTCCGGCGCGGAGGAATTCTTCTCGACTGCCTCATCTCCCTCGTCTGCCTCGCCAAAAAGGAGACCGAGATGTGGGGGCTCATCCAGGTTCAATTCTCTCGCATCTATAACAGGAATGTCGGCCTCTTGTGGCAAAAAATGCGTGGCTTCCTTCACAACGGTGTCGTCTTTGTGGAAAGCGCCCTTTATTTCCATTTGGGTCTCTTTCAAGTTGTTCTCGGACTGTTTCTTGGGAACCTCTGTGACAGTGTCGAGTGTAATCGTCTGGCACCCGTCGGCAGTCTTAGTGGCCTCCGGCTCCTGAGTGTCGATCCGGCGACATCCGGAACGCGCTTGGCAGGCTTCAGAGGTGGCGGCGTGGTCCAAGACCTTCTTGCCCTTCTTGGCCGCCTTTCTGCGCTTGTCGAGAATCTGATAATCTGCACACATTGGTTTGTGATTGGCACCTTTGGCGATACGTTTCTTCTGCTTGCGGCCCTCTTTCTCCCGTTTCTTTGCCGCTACCCGATTCAACTCATCTTTTGTGAGCTGAGCGGTCTTGGCCTCTTTTTCTTGCCACTGCGCATGTGCAATCTGCTTCTTACTGGGAGGTTGCTCTGGCTCTGGAGGAGAGGGAGTCTGCTTAGCGAAGGAGAAGCCACGCAGCAGGAGATCTTTAGGCAGTACCACGGTGTATAGTCGCTCTTGGGCTGGCTTATTGAGGTTTATGTGGCTCTTAGATACAATATCGTCAGCAGTGACAGCGCAGCTGTAATCGACACTGGCGGGATTGTCATTGTCGGTTTCCAAGTTGGCTCCGAGTTTGTCGGTGTTGGTCTTAGTGGACATCTGGGTATTACCCTCAGCCATGTGATCCATCATTTCCCGAGAGTCGCTGCCATCCTCAGCGGCTGTTTTGGTGTTGTCATCCGTGGATACCATCGTGACGTTGTTGGTCTTTGTGCCCCCGGTCTCTTATTCCCGCTTGCGCACAAAATACTCCCTCTGCGCGTCTATGGTATTTATGTTGTAATTTTCTGGCTTGTATTTGGTATTGAGGGGAACCCAAACCGTGGGGAACTCCGGTCGGAACAGCGCCTTGAATGCATCGCCACCTCGGTCCTTGACACGTCGCAGGAGGAGGTTCAAAAGGGGTACCATCAGCTCTGGGTAGAACGCGTAGCTAAATTGCTCCTTTAGGTCGGGGCGGGTGTTCAGGGACTGCATGAACACGAGCAGCACGTGGAGGTACTCCTATAGCTTTGGGTCGTGGGTAACAGGCTGGCTCAGGATACGAAGATTGACGACCGAAAGGAGCTTGGCCGCTCTATTGGCCACGGAAAAGTCCTTATTTAACAACAATAACTGGCAGAGTACAAGACCTAATTCGGGGCTGTAGTCGGTTAGTACGGAAATGGCCAAGATATTTGGACACATACCTAGGGCGGACTGAGAAGCTCTGGACATATGCTTCCGGCCGAGGGGAAGGCTGGGATAGTTTGGCCATGAACCAGCCGAACAGATCTGTGAAGCAGCCGAATAGACCTGTTGACAATGAGGGTGCAGCGTTTGCCTTTTTGGCATATTCTCCTTTGGTTGCATGGGAAGCGGTTCTTCTGGTTGTCTTCCGGCGGATGTAACAAGCCGGTTCCACGTAGTGCGATGCCGGACTAACTAAGGATGGAGCCGAGTTGATTATGGCAATGGAGGTCTTCTGGAGCATTGACGTCTTATATACGTCAAGAAGCTTGGAAGGTAGAGTGGACATTGGGTCATCGAGCCCCGCTACAAGTCGAAGGAGCCTATTAAAAGCAGGTAAATGCGTCTCCTTGCAGGTGTTAAAATAACTTTATTGTAGGTGTTTAGAAGGGGCCGTAGCCAGAAGCAGACAGGCAATGGCTGTGTACAGGTTGTCCTTGTCTAACGAGAGCACCTTGTCTAGTGTGGTAGAGGTCTAACCTTCGGGTGCTACAAACTATGTCAGTAATATGGAGACTATAGTATCCTACGCCAACGTAAATAGCTGGCTGACAGTCAGGGACTTAAGAATATTGAAAAAGCGCAATATATAGTGACTTGACAAGATGCTGCTGTGATGGTAAAGCCGACCCAGGGTCAGGTCAAGATCTAAAACCCGACTGTACTGTTGTATCGCGACTCCTTTCCAATGTAGTCTTGCTTTGGCGTCTTTGTCTTCAACGGAAAATCTAATTCGGGCCGTTAATATATCTTTCGATCGGCTTACAACTGAGAGGCAGCTTACGAACCTATATCGGGCTAAATGTCCCGTGCATTCGGTAGTATAACTTCCACTGTTAGTAGTCTCCTCCAGCAGCTGCATCATTGAATACGCCTCGAGAATAAAAACGATCATGTGCTCGTAACTCTCTGGCAATCGGGGACACAGGACTTTGAGGTAGTGGTGAATGATGTGTCTCTAGAATCTCGCAGGCATGTCATATTCAGCACTCAAGCCCCTGAGTGCCGCCGAGGCCTTGGGATAACTTGATGTAAAGAAGAAGTCACAAACCTCGCGCATGCCGGTTATATAAAGGGCCATCAAAGCCCAGTATTGGTCGTCGTTTAGGCTAATGTTCATCCATCTGCCGTCAAAAAACCGGTAGTAGACTTCACCGATCTTCTTGTATTGGCTCATGTCTTCCAAAGGCCTGCTGTCGGTAGGGAGCATCCATGGTTCCACGTTATTATTCTCCTGCATTGCCTTCTCATCTTCACTCTTTTCGGTTTTAACGACAGTCTAGTGAGTGCAAAGGGGAGCACCACAACACTCGCATATCCTGTGAACAGCACTCTGTCTAGCCTCTTTCTCAGCTTTGCTTTTTGCCTCTTGATCAGCCCTAGTGGCTTTTCTTTTGGCCTCCTGTGCTCCCTCCTCTTCAGCCTATCTAGCAATGTTGCGCTTTGCCTGCTCCATCGACTTGTCGATAGCTTCAAGCAGTTCATATCCAACGTTAAGAGTATTCCGCGTAGCAGCTACCTTCAAGCGGCCCTGGTCGCCAATTGTCTTGGTGGTGAGATCGACCAAGCTTTAGTAGTCGGCAGATCTGGACTCTTCGGCACGGGACTCCTGAGCGACTCGATATCCATGCAGGGCTTCTTCGATGGTGGGGACGTCAAGATCTAAATCGGATCGCCCATTTACGCCATCCCAAGGCAATTACACCACAATGCCTTTGGTCTTCTTGCGCAAGGTGTTCCTGATTGTTTCTTCCAGTTCAACACCGCCACGCTGAAGTTGAATCAAGACGGAGTCAGGTTTCGCTTCTGGAAAAGGGATGACGTCGATGTCATATCTTAGAAGGCGGGAGTTCTGGACTTAGTCCACCTCTATGCATTTCAATTCAATTATATAATAACCAGCATAGATGCCCTCGACTTCAGCCATCAACTGTTATACCTAAATAGTGCAAGTATAGAGCTCATACAGCACCCACTCCGCAAAAGAAATACAGAGTTGGCGTCCATGGGACCATATAGGTTAGGAGTATAGCGGACTTTGGCCCCTTGCCGCCGCCCATCGCGCTTTCCGTTCGGGGGGTATGTGCGGTTTGGGATAGAAGTCGTGTGTCACAGGGGCTATGGTTTGATTAGCGACGTCTTTCGTGTAGCCGGTGCCCTGTTTATTTCAAGGACAACCGTCGTGCGTCGTAACAGTTTCGTCAGATAAAGGAGGTTAAGGTGACACTTCATCGCAATTTTCCGTATCTGATGTTGCCTAATGGCTAGTCTTGGGGTTAGCAAATTTTCAGGTAAATCTAACGTAAAGTTACAAGACCCCGACCAGCAATTACCTACCCAGTCAACTCTTTGCTCGTGAGCACAGCATAGATGTCCTTTGGTGCTTTGGCGTAGGCGTCTTTGGACAGGACTATGGCTGGCCGTCAGGCCCCGCGACACCTCAGAAACAATTTCTGAGCCCAAACAGCCTTCCCATTCGCAGAAAAAAAAGGGCTGGTACACAGTATGCCCAAACGTAATGCCACGAGTGCATGGCCTCTACGCGGGAGAGAACCGATACTTTACAAAACGATCGAAGCTCAGGTCGAGGTTACACCCGAAGCGCAGAATACTCTCAAGGAATCAGGGGCAATTTGTGTCGGCCTTCTTTTCCCTGGAAGGTCTATGCTGAAGCCCGACAAATTTGACAGAACAAATTGACGCGCAGCCTGGATCCAGGGCATAGATCTCAATGATATAGTGTGTGTTAGTTATTATGGATTGGCATGATAACGTTGCCTGTAATTTCTCGTTGAACGCTTGATCAACTTGCTTGCTTGTGACATTGTGACGGCGCCCAAGCTATAAGATTTGAATTTCTCATCATACACTAGGGAGGGTAGCACTAAATCCTCCGCTCAGCTACCATGTCATTTATTAGAGTACGATCCTGTGTACCCTTTTTATGCTGACAACATCTGGGCACTGCAAGAACCTTCTTCCCTGTATAATCACTTGTATTTACTGAGAAGGCAAGAACCTCATTTGCGTATTTCCCTCCGTCAGCATATCCCCCATTATTATCAACTTCAATGATGTTGATCACGAGGACCTCTGGGTTTTGATCATTGGGAGCAATGAGGTGATCAAATGTAACCCCATAGTAGTCAATATAGCTAGCGTGAGGCTGTTAGTTTAGGCGTTGCATCTCTTCTATAGTGGCAGTCTTACTCAAGTGGCCTCCTTCCTTCCATAACCCAGGCAAGGTACTCATCCCGCACAACTGGTGCGCTATCAATTCGACTTTGCCCATACAAGGTCTCATGTGTAAGCTTTGCAAGTTCTAGCCCCCCAGGCTGTGGGAAAGGCCGAATAGGATGCCATTGGACGTGGGGGACCAGCTTTTGAATAGACTGAAGCGGTCCCTGTATCCGGATTCTTAGCGGTTTATCAACGGGTGGAAAGTGGTGGTGATGAGGTGGATTGCGGATGCAGGGAGGAATGTGAAGCTGAAGCGCCATTGGAAGTTGTTGACATGTCCTTGGTCGATTGATAGAGAGCGGATTAGGTGGGGTCTATATACCCCGCTGGCGATACCGGAGCGGACCGTGCACCAGCCACTAAGCAAATCCGCGTGCAGGGGTTGATTAATTGCGCTTTAGTTCCACTATTGACCCTACCTAACATACAGTACGTAATGCCTCGTTCATATACCTTTTTGGTAGGATTTTTTTTATTAGGACAGCAGCTGCCCAATATTTTGTATATCATTTTTAGCTAGACGTGTTCTAGAAAGCGTAAGTGACAGTCGTCTGTTACCACAAATATATCCTCCTTTTTCCTATAATTGCATACGAAACCAAATATATTTCTTTGTAGATTGCGCTCCCTGTAACCAACAACGGAATCCTCTGCAGCAGTAACTTCCTCAGACTGTTCTACGAGGATGGTGGAGTGTTGCACTTCGCATCGCCGCAGTTTCCAGAAGCCTCACTCTCAGTGTAGCGCTTTACACAGTTGCTCGGGTCGCCGCAACTTGAGGTTGTCTAGGTTTTCTTAACATGACCGCAACCCCAATAAGTTGTGTTTATAGTACACATACTGCTTGTAAGATTTAGTCAGATCGCTGGCCCCCTTATGATGGTTTCGAGACATACTTGTTACTAGCGATGTTGTCCTTCTAGGCAGTTTAAAAAATTAAGTAGGGAGGTAAGTCTATGATTCAGATAATGGCATGATTAGCGAAGAGGAAGTAAACCGTGAATAGGATCGTGTGCATCTTTATAAACTCCTCGAATTGGAGCTACTGGCTCACTGTTTCGTTAAGCAGGCAATCATGCGCGGCAAATACGGTGTCACCACACAACCTCAACAAGCTTACGCCTATTCGACCGCACCTGCCGCACACCTCTGATCGTCGCCTTGAAATAGAGACTATGCATTCTGCCTCTAGGGAGCGCTCCAATTGATGTTGTGCAAAATGGCGCCTGACATTGCATCTATTAGCGGCGTTGATCGCATCTCATGTGGTGGGGCACACTTGGTACATAGTATGCAGCCGGGCGGGCCTGCTGCCATACCATTGGTTTCGGTCACATCGGACCAGCAAGGAACACAGCAGAGCGGGCGGCGCGTTCACTAGTGCGGGTGCGCCATTCCAAGCCATTCCGAGCCACACCACTCGTTTCCGACAAGGTTTCCCTTTGTGTAATCCTGCATTTGCTGTCTTTGTCGAATCGGATGATCCGCATGTTTGTGCTATTGCGTTATCTTCTTGGAGACAGCTTTTTCATAGTAAGCGCTCTGCTGCTCCGCCATCCTCAAGAATGGTTAGAATACGTGGCCTGGCCCTGCCCCAGTAAGAACCACGTGCTGAATCAGCTTGTCCTAGTGCAACAATTGTCTAGTTGTACAGTTATACTTAGCCTATACTAAGATATATAATAGTTATTAGTAGGATTAAAGGATTCTTAAAACTTAATATATTAACAAGGGGTAAGCCTTCTATTCCTATACTTTTATATTAGACTTATAAGAATAAGAATAAATCTATAATACTATAGTAAACTTAGCTTATAAATAAAATTAGCCTATAAATTATATTCATATAGCTTTTTATTAGAATAGTATAGTAAAAGTGTTAACTTTATACTACTAATCTTTATAGTTTATCAACCTTTAATATTTTTTATAGAGTTAAAAAATATAGTAAAATCTACAAGAGGTAAGTAGATCTACGTTATAGAAGGGCGCAGCACAACGCCTTTAGCCGCTAGCAAGTCAACACTTCTTGCGATACACGCTGCAATACTAATCTAGGAAATCTTGTCTACCCTTAGGCGTCACTATTCCTTCGTCTACCGCGCTTCTCACCTCTGCCTCGGTTGTCATTATGCTCTTGGCGTGCCGAGTCACCCTTTTGCTGCCGTTGACTGCTTTCGGGTCTGTTACTGACCACAGCACGGGCTTCCTTTTGTTCACTAGAATAGTACAGTCTCCTGGCACGCGTTCCCTTCCTATTTCTGTGGCTAAGCCGCTTGCCACTCGTGGCGCGGCCCTTCGGAGGCGGCCGGGGGAACGGTATGACTGCCAATGTCTGTTCCGTGGTCCCTACGATTCAATCTCGGGCTGTTGGCGCCCTCAGTTGGAAACGCCCCTGGCAAGCTGACGGGATGCTGTTCTGAGGTCTTGTCCTGCGGCGGTCCTACCTTGTTGTTGTTATTATTGCCGTTGTTAATGTCATCATTGTTGCCATTGTTAATGTTGCTGTTAATGTTGCTGTTAAACTTGCTGTTGATGTTGTTGTTGTTATTGTTATTGTTGTTATTATTAATAATGATGTTGTACTCGTTGCTGTCTACAAGACTGGCCTCGTCCAGCTCAATTCTCCACCTCCTTAAGTTGTTCTTAAGCCAAGTCATAAAGTGTCCTGGCAACTCCCACGAATCAGGCCACTTAGGTCCCTCGCTGCCATCTGTGACTATCTCGTCCCACCATTCAAGATCCTCAAGGAGCTTGTGGCCCAGGTCATATTCGTTATCAAGGTACTCAAGGGCGCCCGCCAACGTGCTAGCAAGGTCGGCGTTGTTGCCGTCGCAGAGGTGCTTCGTGAACTGTCGAACCTGTCGCGCGCAGAACCCCCGGTCGACTCAGCCCGACGATGCTCCCTCCTTCATTTACACTTATTAGACCTTTTAACAATTAACAAGGTCTATGATGCTGCCTTAACCACATGGTGTTAGTCAGCTTACCAAAAAGAAAGAAGAACAAAAAAAAAAAAAAAAAAAAAGCACCAAGAAGCAAACAGAGCAGAATGCTACCTAGAAGCCTAGACTATGTCAACTTACTGTAATCATTAGTGACAACGCAGGGTATCATGTAGAGGCCTCAAGACATAATCCTAATTCCTGTGCAATACAGCCAGGCCAGTCAAGGACCACCTATAGAAAAAGACAAGTAGCAGAGGCCTACAATACTTATAGCTACGCGCGAGCTACAATATCAATCTGCCTGCCCCCCCTTTCAAGCAAACAAAGCTCGCGTATATCCGTCCACTTCACCTGCATCCATATCTTGCGGAACAAAGGATGGTCATACAGGCAGGCAGGCGGGTGGGTGGGCGGGCATCTTTGTACAGTATGTCTCGCTCGCAGCGATATCAGATTTTATTTTCACGTCGGTGCAATGGAGTCATCCTATGCTAGATGTATTGCAAGTATGCAAAATGGACATGGACATACTGGGAGCTAACAGGGTAGCAATAGGTACGGTGTCTCTGTTAAAGTAGGTTCCCAAAACAAAATAAAACAGAATACATGGGTGTCACCGCTGGCTGATGAGCAGGATGTCTCCCCCCCCCTGCTGCCTCACAGCGTCCATTGTCTACGCTCCCACACCTCGCCGCACAGCCTCTCTATCCTCTCAGTGGCAACTGACCAAGACCGCAGGTGAGGCTGCACATCGTCAAGGAAAGCACACCGTGCCTCGTCGTCTAGAAGCATGTCGATGACAAACCAGGCGGCGCGCATCGTCCTCTCCGCACGTGTCTCAGGATCTTGGTCTTGGTTGGCGGTAGCAGCAGCAGCAGCAGTAGTGCGGACGCGCTTTCCGGCCTCTATAACCTCGCGTAGTACAGCGTCATAATAGCGTGTGCCAGGACGTGCCGAGTCTCTGGGCGGGTAGAAAGGCGGCGCCAGCGGGTCGAGCTCCAGCAGCTGGAATGGCATCGGCGCGTTGGACGGCTTATTCGGCTCCAGGGCTCGGAGGGCGTGGATGGCGGCGCAGATACGGACCGTCGTCGACGTGCTTGCTAGAGGGTGTCGGGGAGGAGGAGGAGGCGGTGGCGGGTAAGAGACCTTTTCATCGCCGCTTGGGCCAAAGTGAAAGCGGAAGCAGTAGACGGCAACGAGACACACGGCGATAACCGTAGCCATCTTTAGCACCGGCGAGCGAGTGGCCCCCTCCCTGCCTGGTGTTGAGTGATGTTCCCGTCTCGTGCTAAGCTCCAGCGGCAGATAGTACTCGTGACGACGGCGATATGACATGGCTGGAAATTGATTTCCTTGACTATGCATGGGAATACAGAATACAAACTCAAAAGACCTGACCTGAAAAGGGGACGGATATAATACATAGGGCTAGCCCAAACCAGACACGCATTTGGATATTCTTGGACAAGGAGAGAAACAGACAGAGCAGTTTACAATACAGCTGATCTAACAGGGTTCTACAGACCATGTCAAGAACATGGTGCATGCAGTGGGCGGCACGAGAGCAACCAGGTTAAGCGGCTAGCCAAGCCAGGCCAGGCATGACAGCAGTCCATCGGATGCCATCCATCTTGTGTCTATAAATGATGGACTCATCTCCGTACCATGTCATGTCTTATAATTCAAAGACAGGGGCCGTCGTTTGTCTAGTGTCCGCGCGCGCCTGTCTCATGTTGGATGCAACAGTTGTTACAATGGCCTAAACCACAGCCACATCTGCCAGATGTCCGTAATGGCCATCTCTCGTGTCATCTCTCGTCAGCGAGAGGATTCAGCCCAGCCGATGGATCGAATTTGCTACTTCGACGCCGTCTGTCCAGGGACCAGGCATCTGTGTTGTATCTGAACAACAATGCAACACTTACTGGATTTCAGATACTGACGATGATGCGCCCTTTGTCCTCTAAAGGAACGTCCTAGCGTTCAATACAACAAAAACATCATCAGGTACTAGCGATACTTGATTGTCTCGATCCCTGAAGCGCGGCGGTATATACTTGGCCTGTCCTCTTGCTAAACAACACCCTCTTAATCACTCCCTCTTTCTCTCCAGGTCATTCATTCCAAGTCTACTACATACACACATTGATTTAAAAGGCAGAGCAGCCAGCAAAACATATACACTTATATACACTTACAACATGCACACGGGAAGAGATGGACGTGGCTAGATGAAGAAGGATGCTGACTTTGAGTTGATCCTCGCCAAAGCCGAAGCCAAAGCTGCGGCCAGTGCCAAGAGGCGAGAGAAGAAGCGGCCGAGGAGCGGCGCGGGGGCGCATGGACAGAAGCCGACACCTGAAGCAACAGTCCAGCTCCGGGAGACATACGCCGTCGTCGTCGACGTCGTCGCCGCCGTAACATTGCGTCGCATTGTCAACGGGGCACTGTATGTGGTCAAGTCGCCCGTCGCCATCTGCCTCGCGAGATGCGTCGGGGTGTTGGTTGCCATCATGGCCTTGGTTAGCCTGTCTGGGGCCATACTCTGCTGGTGGCTCGATGGGCTGCAACAGATATCACTAGTGAGATATGCCATGTCTACATTCAAGTGGATCGTGAGTTGCTTCGGCGGGGGTTACGGTCTCGTTTCACAAGGCGTAGCAACATCACCTTCTGTCAGTCCCGCCAGCGTCTTGCCCACCAATGAACCGACTCCCACGATACGGGGAATCTTCCCACATGGTCATGACATTGAGGTGGGCGCCGGCTTCCTCTCCCGTATCCCCATCGACGTACAGAGTACAGTACACCACTACTATCGAGGACACGTGGCGGACTCGGCCGTCCACGAGGCTTTCTTGGGCGAGATGCAGGGCGGCGACGACAACGACGGATGGCCGCTATCCTGGCAAACGTTCTGGGACAGCGTTGCGACGACGCTCAAAGACATTGACAGCGCAGACAAGGCCTATGTTGAACGGGTTGCCGGATTCGCCTTGAAGGTCTTCAGGCGCATGTTAAGGCTGCGACGGGAGCTGATCGAGACACTAACTAGCGAGCTGGAGGCGATGCGACAACAGCGCGACCGGTCCACCGCTGCGTCCTGGCCGTTCTTGTCATTGTCGTCGTCGTCGTGGGGGGCCTTGGGGGCGTTATGGATTAAGCTGGCCAATATTTTGGGAGGTCTGCGGCGACTTGTGTCCGAATCATTGGGGGTATGGATGTGAAGGACGCAGGAAGACGGCCTGAGTCTGGCACAGCGACAAGTTCAGAAACGGGTGGAAGTATTCGCAAGCATCTTGAACGGGCTCTCTGACGTTATAGGGGATAGAAGCCTCGCCGTGGCGCAGCAGCATAGCCCAGTGCTCAAGAGGCGTCTGTGTATAGTCAGCAACATGTTAAGACATGCTGTGACTATTGGGGAGATGCGGATCGATCGGTGCCGGAGGTAGACCGGGGCCAGGGCCAGGGCCAAACGGCAGAGCCAGGGACACTATTCCAGTCGTCGTCTTCGTCGTCGTCATCGTTGGTCAAGGCTGGGCTTGGAGATGCAACACACCAGCTGCGGTACTACGGCGTCATTGGATCAGTACTGTGCTACGAATCAAGCCAAACATTAGCAGGCTTCAAGGCCATGGAACAAGCAGCTACGTGTTTTACGCATTAGATGGAAGGATACAAAAAAAGACGTGGCTGACCTGTCGGAACGGATTGCGTCGTGGAAGGCTAAGACAAACGACGACCAAGAAGCTGTCAGGGCGGAGTAGGAGCTTCTAGAACTAGTCAAGGCATTTGATTGTTTGCTCTGGGAGACATACTCGGATTGAGGCGGGCGCATGGCGAAGCGAGCGGGTGGGCGGGCGGGAAATGGAATTATGTTAGGACTATTAATATTAGTGATGTTTTTGTTGCTGTTATTGTCGTTAATACAAGATTAATGCCTACTTAAACCTTGTAAAAATTCCATTGTTTAAAAAACATATAGTAAGATAAAAAGATAGTGTTATAAAGACACTTTTTAGGTGGAAAAGAGCATAGGAAAACGGCTTAACTATCTACATGTAGTATTAGGTGGCCTAACGTAGAGAGGTATATATCTTTAAGTAGGTTACCTAGGCTAGAGTCATGTTATTGTGTTATTGTGTTATTGTGTTATTGTGTTATTGTGTTATTGTGTTATTGTGTTATTGTGTTATTGTGTTATTGTGTTATTGTGTTATTGTGTTATTGTGTTATTGTGTTATTGTGTTATTGTGTTATTATTCTATAACTACTTAACTACTATTAAACCCTTTTTAACTATAATTTTACTATAATATAGTTGTACTGTTAAATATAATAAAGTAAGTTTATATACTAGAAGTTTCTTTTAAAGTCTCTAATAAACTAAGTAAAATATAATAAGAAGAATAAGAAAGAGATAAATAAAGAAGAGGTAAATATTAGGATATTTATTACTAGTAGAAAGTAAAGCTAATCTAAGGTTATATAACTAACCTTAGTAGCTTACTTACTTATACCTCTATAAATATCTATAGTAGCTAATAACTTTCAACTTCTTTGTTATTATACTTTTTTATATTAATAGGTCCTTAAGCTCTGTCCTAGTGGGGATAGATTTGAATACTAGTCACGATATGTCTTAATACTCTACAAGAACACTAGCCTTTGACATAAGTCTACGTATACAAAAACTATCTACTTCTTTTCATAAGGAAGAGTTTTGTGGTGTCTACTAACTCCAAAGTCTTGAGATTGACCTTGGGCTGAACTTCACTACCTTGTCTAGATAGCTTCCAGCCTACATGAAATCGCTAGATGACTAAAGCATACCAGCCTTGACAATCATGGCTAAGAAGAAGAAAACAAAGGCAACTGTTTATTAAAGGCCTACTAGCGACAGCGTGAGTTTACACATCGGATTCAAGGCGTCATAGAAGCTTTAAGTACTATTTTTCTGTAAAATTGTTGAACATTCTAGCCTAGTATACTTCTATCCCAGTTTTTACATTCACCTATTAGTACCCTCCACCATCCAGACTGTGGTATATCTTGACTAAGGGTAGACATGCTTAGTCCTAATATGCTCTCCTTTCTCATCCTGATAAACAGTGGTGTAGTGAGGATACGAATCTTTCTTGCTGGGATGCTCAGTTTCACTAAAGTCTATGTCAATGCTTGACGCATGTTTAGATATACAAGTAAGAAAGAAACTCGCGTCATGATAGCAGTCGTAGCACCAGTAGGCACATCTGCCGTTTCCATGGCTTTACTGAATGTCTCCTGCACGTCCGTTGCAAGGTAGGAACGTGTCCAAGAGTCGGTTTGGGTTGCGTACTTGACAGTGATAGAACGGCCACCGTTCATAATTGTCTTGATCCTCGAACTACTGATCACCTTGTTGGCCATGTCAGATACTGTTCAAAATTTAAAGTTGGATAACAAAGGGATAATTCTAAATGAATCAAGGCCATTTTTCTGGGTAATTAACGATCGCTAGTATTTATGGACAGCAAGAAGGATACGATTGGTGATGAGAATTGGTGATGAGAATTGGTGATGAGAATTGGTGATAAGAATAGGCGATGACTGCAAGGGATTGGCGGGGCTGGCTGGCGCCTAAGCCCATGGTCCAGGGGTCTTTACACTATCTGTTGAATCTTATGTTCAAGGGATGAAGCCTAATGCAGAAAGGTGGGACATCAGGCTTTGTCCCCAGCCCGCATCCCTGTGCCGCCCCCGGTCTGTCGCAGCGGATGAACCTAAGTCCGAGCCTTGGCTGACGTAATAGCGCATCGTATGATTAAAAAGAGTTTTGAGCGGCAGTAACAGAACATACAAGATGACACTGACTAGCTGTCTCCTACCTTTCAACTATTTCTACATCCATGCTTTTCAGAAATTTTATTGGCTACACACCTTTAAGCCGTCTTGCCCATCGCAAGGGCATCAGGATGGTATCCACCGTAGTGGGCGAATCCGGTCGCGTTTATGTCAAAGGCGAAGTGCTTCAGCGTCATCATAAGGACCATAACCTCAGCATCTTCAAAGCTGAGTACGTCTTGAATTTCATGCACTCGTCTCACAACCTAGAGGCCTTACTGATCTATTTCACTTAGCTCCGAAAATGAGTCTTTTGTCGTCAAGCAAGTGCCAAGAACATTTTACAATCTGTCTCTACGTCTCGTTGCCGAGTTTGCAGGCTCCCGCCGGCTTCGAATGCACACCGACTGTAACCAAAAAGAAGGCGTTCTAGTGTATCCTTATTATAGAAGCACCCTGCTTTCATTGATCCAGGACAGTCCGGATTTTCCTACGCTAGAACGAAAGAAAATCCTACAAGGCACAGGAGAAGCAATACGAGAGCTTCACAGCAAAGGCTGGATACACAGCGGTATGTTCTGCAAAACAAATATTGCGACCGTATACGTCTAACCAATCAATCTATTTTACCAGATGTAAAGCCTGATAATATATTAGTCAATTGGACTTGCGATGACCAGGGCAATAAATCAGTCACTGATGTTGCACTAGGCGATTTTGATATTGCTTACAAGTTGGAAGATGAACAGTTTCGTCAGACCCCTTATGCAATAGGTAACGCGATGTGGCGAAGCCCAGAGGGACAAACCGGAATAGTGACCAAGGCGTCAGATGTGTTCTCGTTTGGACTGGTGGTGGGTACATTACAGTCAGATACTGTAAAGGTTCTTGCTAAGTTCTATTTACAGTGTATATACGCTCTGGGGGGCGGTGACCTCCTCCTCCTAAACGACTATGAAGAACTCGTAAAGAGCCGCACTACCGCAGAACAGGAGATACTAACTCGGCATTTTTCCTATTTCGGAACAGTACCGGAAGGGCTCTTTGAGCAGATTAACAACGAAAATTGGCGTCGCGCTTTGGAGGCAGCTTCAGCAGTGGCTGATGAGGCAGTGAAGGAACAGCCTGGATTAAGATTCGAACACTGGGGTGCCGAGCTTGGTCCTGAGGCACAGGATATGATATCTGGAATGACAAGCCTGGATCCTACAACAAGAACAACAATCGACCAAGTTGTGACGCATCGATGGTGGCAAGAAACCACTTAAACAGCTATTTGTATCATTGTAAGAGTGGGAGCAAGCAATCAATCCAGAACCCATGCCTCTAAGTCAGGATCTATATCATTCACTAGCTCGCTATTGTATGCAATGTTCCAATCAAGTTCGTGGGCTGCCCACCATTCATTTCCAGTTGTCGACGCTTCATTGCCGCCTTCGACATATGGAACAATTGACCAAGCAGGACCAAAAATTGACAGCATACCGTGAGGACCTTCATGTCCTCGCTGAAACATAGCCAATTCGCTATCAGATAGGAATTCTGCAGCAGGCTTCCCCTGCCCTGTCTTGCCAGTGGAAGCTCCTAAGGTATCGACGGTGCTACCACAACTGAAGTTCTCTGGTAGCGCCGGCCGACTTTGACAAGCTTGTTTGTGCCGGTTGCCCAGTTCTTGATTTAACGCCACTGTCAAACGCATACTCATTTCTGCCTTTTTCTTCTTAAAGACGTCGAGTTGGTGACGCTCGTCTTTAGTAATCAGACGGTGTGTACCGAATTTCTTTTCGCACGACTTATTCCAATGTGCAGAAAGCGCTCCCAAATTCCCTTTCGATTTGAAACAGCATGGGCATTTGAGGCTTGCAGCCTCTGAGTCTGTACAATCTAATCCCGACACACATTAGCCATATTCAAACGTTTAGGAACCAACCATTACTTACGGGTAAAGAAATGCCGTAGTAGGTTGGCTTTAGTCGAGTATTGTTTCTTGTTTCCACAACGTGGATATGGACAGATGTGATCAAGCTTACTCTCTGCCTGCCGATTACCATAATCTTTATCATCTTCGACTGATGCCCGGCGTTTCCTCTTGTTCGAAAAGGTAGAGGGTGTAAAAGCTTGTTCCCCCAGATAGGATGACACAAGGTGCTCTACAAGCCTTTCCGCATCGCCGCACGGCGCAAGGCAGTTAGGACAAGCCCAAGTCGACATTCGTATATGCGGGAGCGTGTGTGGTGCTTAGCAGTATAATTGAATTTAGAGGTCTTTCAGTTGGGCGATCTCAACATCCTGCGTCATTCCAGTTGGAAAAGCAACAGCAATATATTAGTGCGTATCCTCGTGGGAAGCCATGCCGCCGCTTGTGCATTGTTGCTTGTTTTAATTAAATGCAACCTGACTGTGTAACAATTACTGCAGCAAACTTGCAGTCATCACATCTGAGGTAGGTGCAGAAAGAGCCGCGCGGCTAACAACGGCAAGTAGCGACTTTGAAAATGCGAAAGGAGGGATTGCTAAGGGGGATCGATGGGTAGCGGTTAGAGGTACTTTGATGACTCAAATGCTGCCCCGCAAAGTGTCTGCCGGTTAACCGCTACCGATATATCTCCTATTGTTGACGGCCAAACTCTAAAGACTTTTCTTCTGGGTTTGCCCACCTTTGGTATGTAGTGCTGGGGGCTGCTGTGCTCGTTGGCCAATGAACACTCAAGGTGGCCGCCCGTTGTCGAGGTTAAAAGCCCTCAACGCAGCCTTGGCGAGACCTTGGACATATCCAAACGGGCACTTCTCCAATGGTGAACCTAGAAGAAAGTCCGCTGTGTTCCTTCCGCTACTGCAGGAATGTCATGGGTAGAGGAGGGCATGAGCCATTGCCAAGGATAGGCAAAAGAGCCTAGGTGCAGAAATGGCGAAGAACGGTTCATCCAATCACCATAGAGGGCGTATCGCAATTGCGGGAATTTCAGACCAACAAGTCTGGTCTCTAGCAAGGTAACCGCGCTTTGCACACAACCACCAATCAGATCGTTCGCAAAGTCACGCAATAATATCCGGAACTACCAACACAGGGAGGGTTACGTTCAAATGCTCAGAATCAGCCCATTTTCCTGCCCTGTACGCACGATTCGAGGACGCTCCTCCCTTCCATTACATGTTTTCGAGCGATATATACGTAGTATTCACTTTTTATATAGATAAGTATAAAAGTTATTAGATTAACCTAAATAACTTATTACTAGTAAATTATTAGATAATTAGCTATAGATCTACTTAGGATTTATAGTAATAAGTTAATTATTTACTAACTAACCTATCATAGTTATCTTTTTTTTAATAATAAAGACTATATTTACCTTAATTATCTATTGATTACTACTAATATATATAGTTAAGTATTCTATTATATCTCTAGCGTAACTAATAGATATAAACCTCTTCTGTTTAATAAAGAAGAAGATACTTATATAAAGAGTAATAAAGATAAAGACATAGGGATATCATTCTTTATATCTACTGTATTCTTTAGCTTTCCTATGATAAAGAGGCCTACTGTATTATTATTACTATATAACTAGTTAACTAGTTACTTTTTTACAAGAGATAATATATATAGTGACAGTAATAACAAGGTTACTAACGTAGAAATTTTTATATTTTATAAGGAATATTTAGTAATAACCTTCTATAGTAATAAATATCTAATGATATATTAATATAGCTTATGTAAAACTACTAAGATCTACTTTAAGTAGTGTAATATAACGCGCTAGACCTATCTTAGGTTACTTATATTTATTTTAGCGGTTAGTAAACTTAGAAGTAATCCTAGTATAGAAGGTCAGTGTTTAAACTTATAAACAAAGGAACAATATAGTCTGCTGTAAGCTGTATAATTAGTGATAGGCTTGCTGAAACGTGTTTGACCTCTTGGTGGAATACAGAAAGAATTTACTCTGGGCCACTCTTGTTTAAGAGACATTAATTCAGTTAGTCTAGCGAAATAGATTAACCCTCAACGCTTTTGCTGATTTGAATTAGATTGAGTGCAGCGGTAGTTTGGCCGGCGTTTTTCTGAGGAGACCAAGGCTTGTTGGACTTGACCTAGTTTTCGCGGGAAGGAATGGTATCTTTGTTGTAGAAGTCAGGTTAAGTGTTAGTTTGGTAGAATGCCTTGGCGCGACCAACATTCTCCATAAAGAAAAATCAATCTACGTCGGCGAAGATGACTTGTTGAAGGGAGGTAGTCTCAGGCGACTCAATTCCACGCTTCTTTGCCTCGTTGCGCAATACTGTTAGAACAGCCTAGTGGGAGTCGCTGTACTTAACACTCTTGTCGCTAATAGATTTGGTCTTCTCAAGGAAGCGTTCCTCTCCACTGTAAATAGTTATAGCACAGAGATAATCTTTAAAGTGAAGGCTATAACTGTTCTTTATACTAGTAAACTTGTTAGAGAAATACTTCTAGTATTCTACGTTATTTAATAGAGCTTTATTAGTAAGGTTAGATATAATGTAAAATTGCATGTTGACAGAATGTAAATAAAGAGAATAGAGGGTAATGGCTAGCAACCCTGCTGATATTTATCCAAGAAATGGCCAGCCGCTAATGGTGTTAATGTAAGTTGCGCGGTGAAGAAAGGGTAAACAATATGAGAAAGAAATGGGTAAACAACAGGATGAGACAAAAATAATCGTAGGCAGAAACACCATTGTAAGTGACCCTGTAGCCCCAGCTTTGGTTCAAGTTTTGTCGCGCCGCCTCCCTCATCTCCGCCTCGGACGCCTACCGGCTGTCTGCCGCCGCCACCAGCACCAGTGCTCCCACGGCCCCCGACCCCCAACACCCGCGAGCTCGTCCAGGCGCTCAACAGTATATTGCTTTTTTCCTTTTAATGCTCTACATGCAAGCGTAGATCCAATTCATAGTTGTGAGATCCTACAGGTAACTACTGTATATATGCACATAACGCTAACAGCATAATGACAGAGCTGGTACCACAGATAGCCTCTTGTGCGCCGTTGGTGGCGTCCTCCGTGGGAGGCACCGAGTTTCATTCGGCGGCCTAATCGCGTGTCAGCTTGGTTGCACTCCCCGACTTGCCAGAAAGCGCGCGGTCGAAGCCATTGCTAGCACTGCTGGCGCCACCATGGGCCTGCCTCCTTCCAAGAAGCGTCAGACTGCTGCTGCTGCCGCTGCCGCCGCCGCCACTGCTGCCAACGAGGCTGACATGAAGGCGCACGATAAGGAGGAGGAGATGGAAAAGGAGGTCGAGACTGGCCGTTACGCAAGTGGCAGGAGGGCTTATTTCTCCCCCTAATGGGGCAGTTGTCGCCGCTCAATCAGACGCCAATTTCAGAGCGGTGCAGGCGCAGGGATGAGGCCGCGGGGTTGGACGAGGGGACTTTGTGAGGAGGCTATGTAGAGGGAGAAGAGGAACAGGAAGGAAAGAGGGACAACACAGCGGCGTATATTGCCTTGTGTTGTGGGCAAGAGACTAAGCTGAGCGTCTTGTTGCAGGTTGGGTGTTATTGCGCATGACGCCCACAAGTGTGGGCATCTGGCTACGCGACTCCCAGACTACATATCGAAGGGGGCGGCTGCTGTCTAAACGAGCAAGGTAGGTACCTGCGTACCTAGATACCTACCTACTTACCTACCTACCTACCTAGGTAGGTAACTTCCTGCTTTAAGTTATCAACAAGGCAACAACCACCTGTTCTTTCCCAATCCCTAAGCCCCTAGCCTAATGACACAATGTTTTTGCGTCGGCGGAAAAGAACAACAAACCGTTGTATTATTAACTCGCTGTGTTCCATGGGCACAAAGCTTCTTCGACCTCCGGCATCGTCACCTCGACTGTATACGGAAAAGCTCACCATGCCTCCCATGATTGATTCCTCCATGCGGCGGCTCCAGCAGCGGTCAAGACCTATCAATACTGAGAGCACATGGGGTCCACGATATTCGGGAGCTGCACGACATTTGTTGGCAACAACCCGCCATGATAGTAACTGTTAAATCGACCATCAGGGTCATGACGTCACGCCTTCACGACGCAGTCATGACGTGGACAAGATTCAAACACCTCGTTCGCAATCCCGCATCAACCCCGTTACGATGCCCCTTTCAACCATTTAGCCTACCATAGCTCCCAGTCGGACAAGGATCTTTGTGCTCTTCTCACAATTACTTTACCAAACATGATGGCGGTTTCGTCACGCCCATATCGGTTCCTGTAGGTATCAATCACCTCTCGCCTTTCCCCTCTCACAAAAACACCTGGGTACCCATGTTTACTATAACTAACAGACACCTGCCACATTTGTCCAGCCGCTCATTCAAACAGCATCGCTAGCTACTCCACTCAACCATAAACCCGGCATCGTCCTCCATACACGCATCGTCTCCGTATCACTAGCAAGCAGCATTCTTTTCGACATGGCTACGAAACACCTTATCCGATGGGACCATCATCGACGGGGCTGCCGACGCCGCTAATAAATACAATCCCTGACACCGTGTCCGTGTCACCTTCTAGTAGCTGAGTATGAAAATGGGAAGAGGTGGACAAGGCCGGAGGCGCAAGAGACCAGGGTATGTGGCGATGACGGCACGAAATCATCTCGACGGCGGCTGCAGGGCCAAGGACGGGGAGGTAGGGCAGCCTAGGTTTTGAGTTGGTTCGGGCAGCTCAGGCTTTGGAATATCACTTGCGTCTCGTTACACTCCTAATGTCAGCCGAGAATGCCTGCCTGCCAGTCTTCCGTCTCATGGCAGCTAAACCTAGACACAAAGTCGTAACCGCGTCTTGCATAGAAGAAGATGCTATCATTCATCTCCTTAACGCGCTCTCCTCTAAGGCTTTATTCAGACAAGAAGAGGTTAGGCTCAACTTGGAAATCCTGATTCTGAAGATGCCAACCATGTAGAGCCTGGCCCAGAGGCAGTAGGCGACAACGAAGCCCGCGTGGGAGAGGCAGGTAGTTGAATTCTTTGACTTTTTCTTCTTCTTCTTCTTCTTCTTCTTCTTCTTCTTCTTCTTCTTCTTTGACGTCTCATGGGAGGCAGACCAGCTCGGTAAGCTGCGGTAGTACCTCCTTCAATAGCCTATCCTATGGATTCCTGTCGCAGGCTCACATGAATGTCAGACAACTCAAACAAGCTGTCTTGGCCTAGAATCAAGCTCCAGCGCCTCTTTCCCATAGCATCATGACGAAAGACTAGACACTTCCTGTAAACTCGAAATTCTATTTAACAGAACCTCCGTTCTGCTTGCAATACTTTGGAGCCGTCATTTCCTTGTTAGCCCTTTTCGAGTCAGCGGTTAACACCAAGTACAAAAACCTCACCTTGGCACCTAGCTTCTGTTCATGCCACAATAGCTATTAAACCAACTTAATGTAGCCCAAGATTATATTTCTTTTCTTCTCATCACAAACTTTTTTTTAGGGCGTCAGTTAGTTGTCTAACGCACTGAGCTTCTCTAATAGTAATTAATTGATTGTCTGTGAAGCCGCATGGCAGAACCACACCTCATCTTAGTCCGATCTTTTGCGCTGCCTGCACAAACCTTTTTTCAACTACCGTCGTCTTGATCAAACAAGTTGGCGGAGTTTGAGTAATTATACAGGCGGTGCATCTCAAGAGCCAGGAGCACCAGAGCAATAGGAAAGAAATCCGCCGAAACACCCTCATCCCCTTATGACCAACCACACTCGACCTCCTGCACCGCCATCGGCAATAATACGCCCCGTCATTGTTATTAGCCATCACGCCTATCTCTCTCCGTTTTTCTAACGTCGTTGTCAATGCCGAAAGCAGTAGGGTCCCAGTAGTAGGGTTTTGAACTTAGAGCGCCAGCAGAATTTGTTGTTTTCCTTCCCTTACAACGGTCACAGAAAATAGCATCTCTAAGCAACAAACATCCAGAAAGAACATAGACGCCAACGTAACTCAAAGACTCTCCACACCCCATCATTACTCCGACGCAGGCATGTTTATTCCAGCTAGCTGTTGCCTCCACGATGACTTCCGCGGCTGGCGGCTGATTCTTGTCACCACCAGCATCATCATCATCATTATCTGCCACTACTGCCGCGTGCTTTCCTTGCTTCTCTCTCTCCACTTTCGATAACTGATAACTATTTGGTCGCTATGCTGGACAGTCACTGACCGAGATCCCGTTTTGCCGGTTGACGCATGAGCAAACTTGCTGCTGTTGCTACAACAAGTTGCATCCCGCTTCCTTTCGTCTGTAAGCTTATGTCTCCAAGTTCGGCGTACCTGTTGATGGAATGATGATGCCTAGATGCTGGGGCGTCTAGGTAGTATAGCCGTAGGGAACAAAGAAACCCGAGCTTGTATTACCAAGTAACTACATACCACGCATTATCATAAAGTAGAAGTAGGGTGGTTGGGCTGTTACTAGATCCTGCCTTTATAACCGGAGATTAGCAGGTTGGGTTTCCTGTAATTTTTCTCGACTAGTAGTTTGCCTTACAGGCTGTGACTATCTACAACGTTTTGATAAGTTATATACAATGTCTTGTTGAAGCATTCCCTTTCTATGTTTTATTACCTAGCGGGTGCTATAACATCTTGGAACGCAGGACGTTATTGAGATTTTGCAATCAAGAATTGCAACGGCGGCAAAAGGGGTTGTGTTTAATTAAGGCATTAGTCTCCCATAATTGAATCCAGAATAGGACAAATATACCTATACTAAGAACACGTAACCTATAGAACAGGTAGAGAAAAGCTCGTCAAGGGAGGGTCTGGTCGAGGTTGAGTTGGTCATCAAACTCTGCAACAGGGTAGTAGATGTCCCTGTTACGTTCGTTATTATCAGCAGCAAACCCTCGCTCAGCGCCACCAACCTCTCGAGAGTTGTTCAACAGAGAGGCTACTGACTGCTAGTCCCCTTCCTCAGTGTTCCAAAGCTCAAGCATCCAAGTATCTATGTGCCCTTATGTTCACAAACAACGCTTCTCATGTTCCATCCGCTCTGTTTGGAGCAGAGCATGTCAACGGCTCCAGTTATATTCGCAGTGAATCCTGGCCGTTTCCTCCTTATTGGTCTTCTGACAGCTATGTTAAACCTGTGTTGATCTGTCAAATGTGGCGGGCATGGAAGCATCCTCGGCCACTGGTGTATGGGAGCCAGAAGCTAGAAAAAGCAGGATGAATTATCCGATCAACTCACATCAGTTAATTGCCCCATCTGCGCGGCCACAACTCGTTGACTTGTCGCACCACACGTAGCCTTCCTTTTGCTCCATTAACCAGGGCCTCTAAAGGTGTAGTGCTGGAACACAAGAGTCATATGCAGCCCTCTTCATCATTCAACTCTTTGTCGGCCTGCACCCTGATGCAAAACCCGATGCCTCATGGCCATTTCATCAGGAGGTTTCCCCTTGTGCCCTAGTCAGGCTGGCTTTCCTTGGAACTCTTTCTATTGGGCAAGGTAGGCTTATCTAGGGGCTTCATCTCTTATCTTGGATTTGGTTTAAAGTGATTTTGCTGATTCTTAGGGCCCCTAGGGCCTGGACTTGTACAATGTATAGTGGAAGTGGCACTTGGCATGGATGGAGGACAAAATCAGCCACAGGGTTGTAATTATGTAGTCGTGGCAGTGTCCTGACAGTGCGGCGACGTACTATGTCTTTTTGAGTTACCGCTGCTGCACTTTTACTGGGGCCTGCCTGCCTGTGTAAAAGTTCAAAGCAGGACCCGACCTTCCACGACATGGCCATGCTCTTCTGTAATTTGGTATCTGCTAGCTAGCTGGCTGTCAATTTGACGCTGGAAAAATTGGCAGGTACTCGCTTCGGTGGTTAGCGCACGATTCCCAAGTCCCTAGCGCACGATTTTAGGCCTAGAAATCGTGCGCGCTTGCAGCCCCCTCCCCCAAACATTTTTTGTACCTGCTGACTAAGGCGGCCAAGCCCCACCGAGTAAGATGGGCGACGCCAACAGCCATGAAGGACAATCATTTTCTCGTCTCTCGTCACCCCGAGACTTCTGCATTCGAGGGCCAACCTCGATCAAACCTGCGAGCCCGTTTGCATGGCAGGATCAGACCGAAAAAACCGGGCATCCAGTGCTGGAGGGGGGCCTGCCGCCAGCCGTTCACCGCCGCATCTCCCTCGTCGGCGTCGTCGGGGCCAATACCCGATCAGGCAGCGAAATCGTTGCCGGGTGGGGCGGGGTGCATTTCTTCAATTCCGCATGAGATAGACGGCGTGGTTTGCGGCCCGACGAGTTGCAGTAGATTTCACCTGGAGGAGGCACTTCCCGATCGTGCAATATGACAGACAGCCTGACAAGGGACCTGTTGGTTGAGTCACTTACGCCCTCTTCTCTTTTGCTGTTTGTTCTCTCTTCCATCATCTCGGCCTGCGCCTCACTGCTCCAATCAGGGCTGCTTACGCCGCCCATGCAGGTGATTCTGCAAAGCATCCTCGTCAACTCTTGCTGTGATGACTTGTGCGTTATCGTGTCTTGGCTGCGGGGCGGGCTGAACACATCCAGCGAACGAGGGCAAGGAGGCGTCATGCAGGTAGCCTTGTTGCATTCAAAAACATCGTTTCTGGTATACAACACCCGCATCCCGCTTGGAAGCCTGCGTACAGGGGTGGGTGGCAATGCAGTAAGTATCTTCTGCGTCATGGCCTTGGGAGAGAGCAAACAGCAGAAACCTGCCACGTCCTCAAGGGGACAGGCATACAGGCTACATTGCTTTCGGTGTCCGGTCGGCCTCTCTGGAGACAAACGAAAAAGGATTAAAGTCGGAAGAGAGCCGCATTCATTAAAAGACTTATCTGTACCTAGTTTCCTATAATTGTCGACGAGACAACACAATGTCACATGAGATGTGGTACATGATACGCACTCTGTAACGGTGCCGGGTTTTTCACTTCTGTTGACACTGCAAATAGCGAAAAGCAAACACGATGGAGCAAGACCCCTTGTATCTGCTTCAGCTGCCAGAGCAACAGTTCTTCTGGTCAGAGTCGGATCCGTCGTGTCCCGCCGACTTTACCTATCAACACCAAGACCAATTATTGCACATGCCTCAAACCCAAGGAGCCTTTCTGTCGGAATCTTATCTTACACGTCATGTACCGGGTGATACCATGCAGACCGACATCTCTCATATGATCCCTCTCGACCAAATCGCCGGGTTCGATGCCGTGTGGTGCACAGACAACATTATCACCGGAGGCTTCGATATACACTGCGCTTTGCCCCAGACCTCGGCAACTACTGTGCGCCCGCTCGAGTTTCCCCCTCAGATACGCTTGGTGACTCCCGAAAGGACTCCCGGAAAAGTCGATCGGCCGTTCGAGGTTGCACCAACCACGATTAACCCTCCGGGTTGCGTGAATCCCCTGCGGCCTCCAGCAATCGATCAACCCGACCTCTTTGCAGGGGACCCTGGCGCGATGCACAAGAACCGTCAGCATTGTGTGAAGAAGCAATCGCATCCCGGTGCTCCTTGTCGCGATACTGCCGCTGGGTTGCCGGCATCTCGTATTTTGTTCGAGAATGCGCCCGACCCGATTTCTGTTGTGCCCACCACGGCCCTCTCGAAACCTCGCCATCGACTCATCGCTTTGCAGGACCAGCGCCCGTCCAAGACGTCGACCGCCACCAGGGCTTCTAAAGCAGGTGGCGCTGCCGCTGGTTGTAGGAAACAACACCGAATGGGAAAGCAGAAGAACAAGGGAAAACACAAGATGACCAGGGCTTCTGCTCGAGTCACTCCATACCAGCAGCATGTAATGGAGCTTCTTACGATCATCAAGAGGGAATGCCCCCGAGGTTAGGCTAGCCACGAATAGTGTTTTTTTTTTTTTTTTTTTTTTTTTTTTTTTTTTTTAGATTTCTTTATTCTCTTAGTAGACAAAGTAACTCTATAAACGTTATTTGCACTACTGCTGTGGCACCAATTGAGTTTGCCTTTCGCCTTCCACCTGTCTTTGAAAGCAGCCACACTAGAAACAGCCACACGGAAACATGTAAAGCCACGGCGCGGAGGCGCGCATTCCCTGTTGACTGCTTACGTCATCTTCTATTGATTACCATGCCAGTTACTCCTGGCCGGGAACCTGAGGGCGTTGTCTGCCAGCTCACCTTGACTGGCTTCACTATTGATCCCAACCTTTCCGTTCATATCTGTCTTCCTAATGACACCAGTCATTCCATTCAACTTCGCCTTCGCGAGAGCCTCTGTCTCCCAGATAGACTGGACCAGTCTGACCTCTCGCGCGAAATTCTTGGGCTTCAGGACTCGCCTGATCATATCGACTACCGATCTTCCACCATGTCCCAGGAGACCACCAACCGGTCGCCAGCAATGCCACCCAACCCCTTTAGGGAAGAGATCAGGGAACAGAACGACATAGACGAAGTCAAAGTCGACGAGTATTCAACCCATTCCACAACGCTCTAACCTACGGAGCCCCAAGCCTCATCAATTAAAAGAGGCGCGTGCAGCTTAGATGGAAGCCATCGTGGCATGTTTCTTGTCGTTGTCGCAGAACATCGGGAGGGCCAGTATCAAGGCGTGGAGCAGTGCACTTCCAGCATTCTGCAGCCGCATCCATCGCATGTCAAGCCTGACGCGCGGGAAGAGTGCTGTTGAGAAGATTTAGGACCTGTTATTGCAGTACTTCCTGAGACAGGTTATAAGGTTGATGTGTCCTCCGTCAAGAGCACTAAGCACAGCGGTATAACGTGAGATGCTGCCCTGAGTTGAGGCTGCATGGTGTTGAGAGGCAGGTGGTAGTGTTAGTAGACAGGTGGTGTTAGTAGACAGGTGGTGGTGTTAATAGACAGATGGTAGTGGCGGTGGTGGCAGTGGTGGCAGGTAGGCCGTAAAAATACTAAAACGGGGTACCTACCTAGAAAAAGCTGCCCACCCAGGATGGTGTGTGCGTTTCTGCTGGGCACCTTAGTCAGCACCACGGTGTCACCTCTGCGCGACACTTGGATAGACACGCCGTAGGCCAAGGCCACAGGTTGTCCCTTGGAGAGCCTAGAAAGGTCAAGTGAGCTCGCTGTAGATTGCAGGGAGAAGGAAGGCGGGGGCTCACTAAGGAGGAGGAGGTTACAGGTTGCTTTGCTAGTGATAGCACCATTGTGCCTCCGCCGCTGACAGCTATCCTTTTGCCGTATGAGAAGCACCCTAACGATGATTATATGTAGGCCCTGGAGTTGTAATACCTGGCGCAACGGATCATGGTTGAGTCGAAGATGGCAATAAAGGAATACAGTTTGTTTAAGCCTATCAGAGAGTCTGTAGTCGTCCAGTTGTCGCGAGATAGATGCTGGTCTCTAAACACGATCAAGTTGCACGCCAAGTTGGTCGACCGCCTTCATCATCATTCCAAACTTCTGCTTCAGCGACCAGACGTCGCCCACTTGCCCCTCCTCCTTTCTCGCCTCGCCTCTCCCTCCTTGTTCTGCTCAATGTCCTTGTCCTTGGCTATGCTGTTCTTAACAACAACCAACGCCTCAATAGATAAAAACTCCGTCGACGAGGCCGCTCCTGAAGTTAACGATGCACTGATTCGGGAGATGGCACAAGTTGCCGTTCATCGAGATGGCAGGCACTGACTGGGATGACGCACTGCTTTCAGATGGGGACCTGCCCTTCGTACCTGTGGCAGTGGAGGCTGAGGCACTAGCGCACGATTTCCACGCCTAGAATCGTGCGCTTGCAGGGGCATATGTAGTACGTACTTGCCACCAAATCCCGCTCCAGGGGCTAGCGCACGATTTGAGAGCTGGAAATCGTATAGCCGCACGGACTGCCCTGTACACGCACACATCACGCAGCGCAACTTTTATGGCAGTCAAGATCTTGGTAGCTCGTCGTCTTGTAGGAGGTTTGGTTTCCGTCCTTATCTAGTGAAAACCATCTAAATCATTTCCCGTCATGTCTGACATCCGTCAGACAATCACAGTCGAGCCAGCTAGATGCTGTTTCTCATCGCCAGGCAGCTGCATTGTGTTGGTCATCATCTCTGATGGCTCTTGGGGTTGCACAGGAGCAATGGCGACGACGATGTGAAGAAAGAAGCTACTACTCCCCGCGAGGCCCGTCTCGGTTTCTAGCCAAGTCAAGGTCTGATGGCTGGATAACCGAGGCATTTGTAGTGTAATCTTAGTCACCAAGCGCAAAGATACACATACAATTTATTATATAATTAAACCTCACTTCACCTCACCTAACAAGGCAGTCGCTATGTCAACACCTCTGAAGCGTAACGCGTCTGGGTACGTCCAGCCGCCTACGCCACGTTTTGGTGGGGGTGGCAGTGCGCAGCTCCAAGACTCAGGTTCACTGACTACCTTACGTCCTCATCCATCCTTAATAAAAGATGCACCGCTCCTCCAAGTATTACTGTATTGTACGCTATATCGGTACATTCCTGCCGTTAGTTTGGGCAAGGGCACTTCCTCTCTATTGTGCCTGCCTTGCGAGAATCGTGTGCTCCGCTTCACTGCCGAGAGATGGTGCGTTGTATGTTAACCTCTCTTCTCCCCCATCTCCACTTTCACACCCGTCGTCTCACATACACACTCTCTATCTCTCCCTCTCACGCACGCATTCAACACTGATCTTTTCCTTTTCCTCTTTTTTGTTGCCTTCTATTTTTCTTTCGCTTACGAATTCAACACAGCAATTCACTCATCGCCCACTTTTAGTACCTTCCCTCTCTTACGTTACGCATGCATCCACCCTCTCGACCACCTCTGTGACCACTTGCGTACAGAGTTTGAAGCTTTTCCCAGTTTCTTGTCTGACCAGCGGGCTCAAATATACACGAGCTTGCTCGAGCTTGAGGCACGCCTTGCAAAGGCGCCACACTCAGCCGAGACGCACAATCAGATGGAGAGGATCTGCAAGCAGCTGGAGGATCTGTCCAACGAGACGGAGGCGCGCCGCGATGCGCTGGAAGCAAGCAGTCGAGAAGGTGTGCAGTGAGTGAAGGAGATGCGATGCTTCCTGGTTAAGAAGATGTGGTTTCTTATCGACGAAAGCATGTGCTAACAAAGCAAGGAATACGGGTTTAGGAGACATGGCTAGCGGCGAGATTGTGATAAGCGCGGGTAGCTACTGGGAGGCACTTGATTAAATCGAGAGAGGACTGCGGCGTATTCCGAATGACGCGCATTTGCAAGAAGCTGGTTGATGCCGTGACGCAGAGTGCCACTTCAAGAGGCGTGAGAGAGTGAGTGTTGGGTGATGTCGGTGTACGATACACCCAGTCTGGTGACAGAGAACTTTGGCTACAAACCAGGAGTCCTAGACGCGTGTGTATTACTATTACGTGATAAGCTTGCTGGCCTAGGCTGTCAGCGAACAACGCCACTCTAGAGATGCTGCTGCTGCTACTACCGACCATGTGCGCTCTTACCCCTTCCTCCTCCATCAATAGATTCCCCGTGTCTCCCCGATGGTCCCTTTGTGTACAAGGTAGAACATGAACTGGATGGATTCAAGCGCAGCCCCGGTTCTGAACGCAGAGGTGCACACGCAGGCTGTCCGAAGTCTCTCTGTGTGCCCTCCTCCTCGTCCTCCCCCCCCCCCGTCTCTCAAAAAATGTTTGTTCGGTTTTGTGGCTTGAATAAGCAGATGTGGGATTGTTGCTTCTCGCTCGCGGCGATGAGCTTGTATGTTTTAGGGTTCAGGTACCGTCGTGGGATGCTCCTGTTTAAAACAGCGTCAGCTTCTTATTGTATCACAGGCGGAGGAGATGCTTAAGGCATGTGTAAAGGGGCTTGCTGTTGTTAGACCAAACATTAGACAACAATCTCTGCAGAAGAATTTATCGATGAAGTGGGCCGAGAGAGAGGTAGAGATAGAGGCGTGTGTTTTGCTTGCTAACGGCAACGTGATTAATGATTATGGTCGTGAAGTGTTCGTTGTGCTTATGTTCGAAACGCGAGGTTCAAGATTAGGCAGGCACATTGCACACACCAATTAGTGCCCTACCTAGCACTAGGTAGGCTTGCTTCAGTGGCTAGCGCACGATTTTAGGCCTGGAAATCGTGCGCTAGCCACTGGAGGGTACGTACTGTACTACAGCCACTCCCCCACCGCACCGTTTTTGCGACCGTCCGTCCTCTGGCCACGCGATTCTCTCAAATCACCAACAAGAAGAATAAAATAAACTAAAAAGAATTCTTGTTGTTTATTTCCCCTCTTTCTCCTACCTAGTTACAGGAGGGTCTAGAGAAGACCGAGATACAAACCCGATCTTGATTAACCTGCCTGACGACTTCTCTCCCTCTACATACAACATCTGAAGCAGGATGGACGAAGCGAAGCAAAGCGAAGCGCAGCCCACATGAATGGACTGGAATCAAAACCTTGTCAATCTTGGCATGCCGTCGTTCTCAGCTGGAAAATGTTTGTTGGGAAAGCTGGCAGAAAGCCAGAGTCAATACTGTCATGGTGTTTTGGAATGAGAGCCCTCATCCAAATGTTCTACTATCCCATGCATGCGTGCTCTTTTCCTACCTGATTGTATTGTCGGAATTTCCACGGCATCCTTCCTTGTCTAGGGTGCCCCTATCTAATAATCTTCACCGCGAGTTCCTCATCAGGTTAGGGGTTTGCACCCCGCTTCTCCTACCACCAGACAGACTCCAAATCTCAGTCGTGGCCTAATTGGAACCAACGTCAATGCCAGGACAGGCGACCAACCCCTAGACATGGAAGGGCTCAAATCTAGAGCTGCTTACCGATCTACTAAACTGACTAGACCTTCGGCATTCTACGCTAATGGGCTTTTGGGTTGGACATCTGTACCTGTCGAACCAGTTGCTGCAGCAGTATCTATTCTTACATGATGTGAAATGCCTAAAAACGAAGTTTCTATCAAGGACAGGGTTGAGGCGAGCAGTTTCTACCAAGACTGTGATGAGAAAATCTGGGCTGTTCAATTCACTCGTTTGTTAGTCAAATTCTATCTAGTACGAGGCCATATCCCTTTGAAGAGGTTGACTGGAGCCAGTGTTGAATGAGGGGCTTCTTCAGATGGCGCTTTCTTGGATGAGGCTAACACAGGGCCTACTACGTATAGCTATATTCCTTGAGGGAATAGGCGTAGAGCTGGTGGACGAAGCAGAAGTGTTGAGATTAGAGTGTGCTTAGAGAAGGGGCGTGGGAGACGAGAGAGCGAGTGTTTGGCTGCTTTGCTGTTTATTAAACTGTTCTTTGGCCGCGAAGGGAAAGAAAGCCGAGAAGATGCATTAATTAGTGATGCAGAAAAACGGAGGAACGGGTGCGTAGGGGCAGGGGCAGGTACTAGGCAGGGGCAGGGGAGCTGCATGCAGGGGTGTAATCAAAGGTTCTATCCGTAGAGGGAAGTCAGTCCATTGACACTCTTGCCGCCAAGATTGGCGACTTAGTGATGGTTGTGGAAGGCACCGGGACAGGATGGATTGCCGTTAGCTGTGTTGCAGCAGACGCTGTAAGGCATCGGGCGCACGCTCTGCTCCGAACCTCGGTAAACGATGAGAGCTGCCTGGGCAATAGAGGCATATGAAGATTATCTCGTTGAAGAAACCGAACAGGAATGACTACGCCATTACAAAGTGTTCAAACTACTTACAGGCGTCATTGCGTAGTCGCAAAGGAAGTTTGGGGGCAGAGAGGTCTACATCAGGCCACAGCAGCTTGCATAGTAAGAGGAGGTAGGTACAGTACAAAGGTACCTAGGTACTCCGTACTTACCTACAGCTGCTGAAATGCATGCATGTACTCCGTATGACGTGCCTGACCTGGACTGGGTGGGGCGTCTTGATCTGTGCGTGCGTGGTTACCTAGGGTTAATCAGAGGAAGGCACACCCAGGTACACCCAGGCACACCGTACCCACCACCTGGGTACCCAACTCCCTCAGTCTTCCCAGGGAGGCCACACACACACAACAAACATGGCATCCAAAGTCTGCTAACGAGAAACATCGTTTTTTCTTTTCTTCCTTCTCCTCTACACACAAGATTGATTTGAGCGGGAATAACGCAATTCCCATCGTGGGGTCAAACGAAGCCGCCGCGGAATTTTACAAGCACATCGATCGAGTCTGAAGGCCTCACGGAACCGAGGTGGATGGATCAAGCAGCCAGTCCAACGTTGACCTGGTGCCGCGAACTAGCACTGACTGCACCGTCAAGTTATGACACTCTTCTTCTTCTGCTTTTTTCTTGCAGACGACTGTCTGTCACCGCCATTGATCCTTGCTTGACCAAGCCTCACATTCCGCCATCGCCGCGATGCTACCGTGATACACACCCTCTCTCGCGCCAACCACAGCCTCGGCCTCATCCATGAGCCCGAGCTTGGCAACCTACATGGACATGTTAAACGTAGGTATATACGCCACGTTGTTGACGCCTGATGAAGAAGTTGTGACAGCTGACGCTCAAAGGATCCATTCGCTTATACCCGAGGCAGCTAGTTGTCAAGACATTGGAAACGATACTCGGCCTGCATTGACATCCATCAACATTACCAAAAACATGGTCGAGAAACAGATGAGCGAGGTACTCGCATACAGAGAGTGCAACCAGCAAAGCTGGCTTCAGCACCAGCCCACCCCGATATCAACGACACTGGCGGTCCGCCAACCGTTCGAGGCACTTGAGCGACGTATCGAGAGTGAGGAGCGGGAACACGACGATACTCCGGTCAGAGGGGCTTCGTTTCTTGTTAGCTGCTTGACAGGCGAAGGAGACCGGCAATCACTTCGCGCTCAACCATCACCAGACAAGCGTATTGGCGCGACGACAGTCAAAGCTGGTGTTGGTGTGGATCTTGGGGACACCTCGCAGGCGATAAGTTTGACCAAAAGATTGACAACATTGGAGAAAGCCAGTTGTCTTGACTAGGAAATAGATAAACTCACCTAGTAACTGGCCATCTGATGACATGTACTATGCACACAGCATCGTCGACAAAGACGTTGTCCAAGGTTGGACGAGTCGGTCCTCCATCTGTGACATGTCAAGGTGACACAAACTCATGCATATGCTGCTTCTCATCGCCCTCTGAACCATCTGTGGAACTGGTCGGCTGGCTAGTGACCAGGACGGACGGGTCGCTGTCAACGGTTCCCTGGCTTGCTGGCCGAAGTTCTTGTTGAGCTCGCAACACAGAGGACTCGCTTTGAATGTCAAAGATTAGATGAGACTCCAAGGCCGTCACTTGCCCCTGTTAATCTATCGCGAAGCGATCAACATGGCGGCGCCACACAGTTTATGTTGATAATACTATGTTGCATGCAACACATAGATGTGTATCCGGTCTCAGGAACTTATGCACAGCTGCATACAGCTATTACATAGATACATACCCAAGGTAGCCAAAGGCAGCCTCCCTCCCTCTACTATTTCTCTGTCCACTATCTCCACCTCATCTCCATCTCATCTCTTCTCATCTCCATCTCATCTCTTCTCATCTCCATCTCACCTCATCTCCATCTCACCTCATCTCCATCTCACCTCATCTCCATTTCACCTCGTTTTCATCTCACCTCGTTTTCATCTCACCTCGTTTTTATCTCACCTCGTTTTTATCTCACCTCGTTTTCATCTCACCTCGTTTCCATCCCATCCTATCTCAATCTTGGACGACAATTGATTGCGGTCATTTTTTCATCGACTTGGCTTCACCCCATCAGCGGCTTGTTTCATTGCCTGCCTGCTGTCTCCCTTTCCCTGGAGCCGAGTTGGTCCGTCGCGCAGAACCAGGACGATATTTACGAGAGCGCATCCCGCCGTCCTTACCAGGACACCGGCCTTCAACATCACCTGTTCATGCAGCAGGTAGATTCTGCAAGAGGCCATCTTTCTTCAGTAATCATCTACAGCATCCTGGACGCCTACTCCATTGGCATCTTGCTGTGTGACTTCAAGGAGGCCTAGTTGTCAGCCTTGATCGGAATGGTCCCTAATACCGCGACTTCATCACGTATCTGGCGGGACGATCGCCTGAGGCTGACTAGTCTTTCTGGATGGCTTATCTGGATGAAGTAGAGCCCTGCCTGCTCCTAAGCTTCGCTGATGAGCTAAACAGCGATAACAGCACCAACGGCAGCTTCATAGTTGATGTGCCTGGTCTAGATGCACGCTTTTAGCACCACGTGGTAGATAATGACTACGGCGATTATCTAGACTGCATAGGTGCTGGTTCTGCAAGAGTATCAGAAATTCATGGTTTCTTGCTTTGGAAACATGACCTCGTGCCAAGATGCGCCTATTGACGGTGTGCAGGACATGTTTGGATCCCTGATAGGCATGATTCTAAGTTAGGTCTGACTGGACATAGAGCGTTCTGTTGTTGATGTACTACAGGATGCCTATGAAGATTACACAAACAGCCTGTCACACAGCAATTACTTCCCTGCGGCAACCAACAGAGCCCTCGCTGTTGGCACGACCGGGCTCTTCACCAGCATTCCGTCACTGCCGAAAGGGGGGCGACAGGTTACGGAATCGGACTAAGCCTATAGTGTTTGTTTCCGAGGCAGCGTGGACCCTGTGGAGGTAAGTGGCACATGGCATAAAGCTGTCTTTTTGAAGATCAGGGACCAAGCCAATAAGTGTAGATGGTCTTATAGTATGATATCGCTATTACTAGAGTTAACAGTGGTACATATGTGGCAATCTATATTAACGTCAAGAACGGATCCATGAGTGTCTTTCAGGCAGTAGTGAAGTCTTGGGACAGGAACCTTACATACTCTGAGCTGACTGACTGGTGAAGTAGCTAGCGCATCATCTCTTTAATCCCAGAGCGTACAAGGAACGCCTTGTGCCAATTTGCTTCAAGAAGTCCAGGTGTCATGGGTATAGTAGTTATACTAGATATACTCAAGGCCAGGGGCATCTTTATCCCCATCAAGCCGTTCTCAGGTGGCGGAGCGGAGGGATTGCGGAGACTGCATCCAAGGTTATACTCACCTCAGAACAACACACAGCCAGCGTAACTCCGTCTGAACGTTCCGTTGTCCCTGTTGGAGCACGGATTCTCAACACCCTTTTAGAAGAAGACAGGCAAAGACCTCTAGCCTTCTACCTACAGTTTGCCGCATACGTCTTCTTCACCTTAAGCAGCACTAGCTAACCAAAAGGTGTTCTTATCAAGCATTAAGCTGCTTTGACCATTTGTACTGCCTTTGGTAGGCTGATAGGATTTACTGACTACTCCTGTGTGTTGTAGTTCTTCTTATACGTTTTGACGTATGCATTATGGACATATTCAAACCTCTCTTCTATAGCGGATGTGTCTGTGTGTCCTCTAAGGAGCAGCGGTCGATACATCTTACAGAGATCATTCTACAGATGAATATTGACATAATCTTCCTTAGAATCACCGCCACTAGGCTTCTGGATCTCTAGTCTTCGACAAGCTCTTTACCCATCTTCACGGGAGGCGAAAAAGCCATGGACAACGACTTCGACCACTAGCAAGGTGGCACACGTATCATCAACGCATGCAGGCCGAAGGAGTTTACCGTATTCTCAACTTTAGGCATCCAAATTCTAGGTGTGAGCACGGGTACCAACATTGGAAGAGCCGTCGGCTCGTTGGCTTGGGTGGTAGATAGAGACGACGTGGGCATGTTGGTTCCTGTCAGCGCGTGCTGTCGGGGAGCTGCTTATGGAAGGCCCAGCTTTCAGTCGTGAATATACTAATGACGCAGAGAAGAAGGGTTGATCGTTTGTCTTGCATGTCCCCTCCCTGTTAGAAGGCAGCGCCAGCTTCGCCGGCCGCCATGACCGCTTGTATAAGACAGGTGACTTCGTTAGGTGTACTGCGGACGGCAGTTTGAGATGATATGTCGGGCGTAAAGATGACCGGGTCAAGATCCGCGGCCAGCGCGTCAAGCTGGGCGAAGTGGCGTATCAGGTGCGTAAATGCGTCCCAGGTGCACAGGTGGTGGCGACCGAAATCATCCTCCCTCGAGGAGAGGATGTCAGTCCCATCTTATCAGCTTTTATCAAATCCCAGCAACAACAGGGGGAGGTGGTGGTGAAGGATACGGACGCCGCCAATACTCACTTGGCAAACGAACTTGAAGGCAGATGTAGCTTACTGGCGCTCTACTCTCGCCGCTTTCGCCTCCAATTAGCCCTTCCCCCTTAAAACGTCAATAGCAGCAGTAGGCAGCACCAAGGTCCACCGACAAGCGGCAGTTCGCTCTCCCGCCTACGGGACCACATGATGTCACAGCGGCTACTCTTTTTTGGGCGGCTTTGGCTCTGGCTATATCGTTGTCTACTGGTGTGCCTAATGTCGCCTTCAGAACGATGGCATCTGGGCTCGATATTCCCGTCAGGGAAATTGAGCACATGAGAGGCCCAAAAGTCGAGGCAGTGCCAGTACAAATCAAGCTAGATCTAAATGAAACAGTGGCAGTCTCCCTCTAGGAGCTGCAAAGGGAGTCAGTCAACATGATCCCGCATAAGCAACTTGGATTACATAACATAGCGCACCTTAGCAACAAAGTCCGGCTTTCTTACCAGTTCCAAACCATGCTTATGCATAGCCAGTGCAGAATCTAGAGCCAAGGCTGTTTAGTACTATGGGACAAGGTTGGCATTAGAGCCTTCGGTACCTACGCCGTCCACCTTGTTCGTTTATTAGGCGTTGGGCACTAACAGGGCTGCGCAAATTGAGACCATCTTGGACGAGACTAAGATTAGTGCGGTATCTGTATTGAGACTGCTGAACAAGCTTGAGCTGTTTATTAACAAGCTAGTCCTTGATGAGGACCTTGACTTTCAACTGCTTTCCTAGAAACATCACGTACGCCGACTCTGATGCTGCTGATGATTAATGGTAAAGGTACCTGGCGGACTCTGTGTCTCTGTTGTTTCCTCTGCTTCTAGCTAACTAGGGTCTACCCCCGTAAATTCCTCTGTAAAGCAATTGTATAGGATATTGCCTATAAAGGAGCTTAACGCTACTATAGTAAGCCTCGTCCACGCTGCGTGGGGGCCGGCCTTGGCTGCATCAAGCGGGTTGGCGGACGTTGTGTTTGCTGCAACTGTCTCAGGAAGGAACGCCAGCGTCGATGGCATCAAAGAGATCGCCAGTCCAACCATGGCCACAATACCAGTGCGCACAACGGTTGACTAATACCAAACTATCTCCAAATCATTGCGACAAGTCTAAGAACAGTCGCTAGAGACAATGCCGTACAAACAGACTAGGTTACGAAGAATACAGGCCTTAGGCCCTAAGGCACATCAGGCCCCCTAGTTCCAGACATAGATCATTTAGCCGCTATCTCAAGTAGCCCAGCTAGAGTATTTACAGCTTGTTACAGTTAAGGGCAAGTTAGACTAGTCAGGCTTCTTTACCTGTGCGCTGAGCCTCACCTGCTCTTATTACTAGTAGAAGGTAGTTATAGACGCTAGTTTTGATGAGTATTGTATCAGCTAATGGCATACGGTCTTTCTCCTTAGGTGTTTCGACTGCACGCTAAATACACATGCAACGGGCAACAAGCCATTAGCCTCAATGGAAGCAATTCCGGCTCACAAATACCGCCAAATATAGGAGTAGACCAAGGCTGTTTCCCCCTGCTTCCCAGAGATACATACACACAATCATCAAGGAACAGGCTTAGGAAACACTGAATAATGCCGCCATTTACGCCTAGGATAAAGATCTCACCTATGCAAAAGTTAAAGAAACAGCCACTGCGCTCTTGCATCCTCTTATAGCCAGCGGTGTTAGCTATTGAGATATCGTTCCCATTTGTTTGCGGAAATCATACCTTACGCCAGTCGTAATGCTTTCTGTTCTCAAGTGTAGTGCAGCCTTTACCCTCCCGGAGCTATTGCACCTGGCATCTTGACTCCAGGAAGCTATACTCTAAGTCAAGGGAAGACTAGTTCTGTGATCCACAGGGCATACTAACCAGTATACCGAGTTTCCAGCCACAATAGTGACCGTCAATCATAAATTACTGTTAAGCACAAAAACCTAGCTAAACCCAGCAGCCAGCCCTTTCTCTCTACGTCAAATATCCCTATCATTATACCTATACGTAGTGTTTACATCTAGCAGCACTAGGCGGCCTAAGGGTGTATTAATCTTGTACAGATCGTTCTCTTCCGCCTTAAATCAACAATCAAAGGCACACGGCTTCAGCTCTCAAGAGTTATATAAATTCCTGTCATACTCCTTTGATTTGCCTACCGAAAAATTCTGATATCGCTTGCATTAGGCTGTTGTCTTTGTGTGCCTTCCGACACTGATCGCAAGGATATGCTGATGGAGTCTCTGAGATCCCTGGACGTCATCATGGTTCATATCACGTCGTCCGTGTCGCAGATCCTACACAGAAAAAGGCTGAGAGAGCTGGAGGTAATACTTTTTGGATGTGAGGCACTGTGCTTCGACAATTCCATAGGGTGGCTCATCACAGTCCGCGTAATCAACGGCTATAGACCGGCCGAGTGCACGCTGACGAGTGCGATCAACCGGATTACTGGGACACCAAAGAACACCACCAATATTGGAACCAGTACGGGTGTAGTTACTTGGTTGGTTCATCCGGAAGACCGCAATCGATTGGCGCCTCTGGGCATGGTGGGGAAACTGCTCATTGTAGATCTCTTGGTTTGCTTGGGATGTTTGAACAAACTGGAGAAGACTGCTACCGTTTTTGCTTAAGATACTGACTAGCTAGCCTGAGGATCTGATGGGTACGTAGGTAGACATAGGCATCTTTCCAGGATAGGGGATCTTGTTTGGTACGAAGAAGACGGTAGCATTATATTTATTAGCAGAAAGGATAGTCAGGTCAAAATCCGGGGTCATTGTGTTGAGCTTGGCGAGATAAAGCATTACATGCGTCCTTGCGTTCCCAGAGTACGCCTGTTAGATGTGCAGAAGTCAATGTAACCGGAGGAGCAAACGCTAATTCAATGTTGGCAGCTTTCCTAGTTATAGAGGGTGTCGACCGGCAGGCCGACAATGCTGCCGAATCACCAGCACCACAGATCATTGACGTTTCTCCTGAGACCGAGGTCACGCTTGCTCAAAGATAGTTGTCGCGTGTGATCCCGGCCGCGGTGGCAGTCCATATGTCTAGTTGCACGGCCGATGTCGTTGTCGGAATCATGGTTTTTGGGCGCAGTGCCAGGCTTGCCGGCATTGGGGACGTCGGAGGGCCAACAGTCGCAACGATCCCTATGAGAATCAAGCTACAATTAGCTCAAACGAGATTTAGTCTCCTTCGCAAGGTTCAAAAGTATTTTATTTAATTGACATGATTCCTCATAAGCAGCTGGGGCTTGCCAGCATACAGAATGTTACGTATGACGCTCACTACGGCTGCCAGTTCCAGACATTGGTGGCAGTGGCAACCGTCACAGTAATCGAGACCAGGACGGTATATAGAAGCCCTGGGACGATAGAAAGACATTTCTGGCGTAGAGGACTTCTCTACGTATACCCTTAACAGGCTGCTGTAGAGCCTGAAAGTCGTGGTAAGCCAGCTAGCCAACGCAAGCGAGAAGGTATTACTTGCAGATATAGACACTTTATTGGCAGCAGACTGCAAAAGCGTATGGTCGAGAAACAGGTCAGTGCCGCCGATAGTGGATCAGTTTATGCATGAAATCGTGATGGCGGAAGCAGAATAACGGCCAGACGCCACCGCTGTATACTCATGAGACAAAGATCTCACGTATACTAAGCTTAACATGCTATTAGCGCAACTAGCGCACTACCTTGTTCTTGATTTAGGAGTAGAGAATGGCTTTATGGTACCACTGTGCTTTAGGAAGTCAAAGTAGATCATAGTTGTAATACTTGCCGTCATAATGGTAAGGGCTGCTGTTAGTCCCGTTGATCAAGCACAGGCTGGAGACCGAAGAAAAAGAACTTTCAAAGAAGCAGGAGCAACGTTCGTCCTGAGATCAGATCAGTACCGACTGTCACTTCGACTCCCAGGTCGGACTGTCGCCTCCATTTGTATCGGCTTTTTCAACAAGCAAGCTTGGGAGAAGAAGAAGGCCGATGTGGTCCTGCCAGCAGATCTTAACTCTGTAGCGTACGTACTCTTTACATACAGAAGCACTAGAAATCCTAAGAAGGATTAACATTCAAAACTAGTACACACTCAGGACTAACAGTGCCGAAAGCAGTCCAAGACCGACATCTCGGGATTGGTTCATAGCACACAAACACGAACAAGGACTTGTATCATGGGATGGGCTTGGGCGCACTCAAGAATAGACTTCCAAATCCCTACAGCAATCAACTTGTGAGTTGTTTCATAGATATCCTTCCGCCTTGGACCTCGTATGAGCCCTTGCTGGATATCGCGGCCATAACCATAAGCTACACCTGGTTAGGTCCACCGCGGAATCCACGATCCCGACAATCCAACGGCCAGTTCGACATGGCCCTGATCATACCAGCAGTCAAGCAGAGATTGAAAGGTTTTCCCTTATGATCCTCATCCAAGGATGCTCGTAGTATTCGCCATAGCCTGTTGCAAACATATTTGCCTTGGACGGTTACAGCTCCGCCACGAGTAACGCGGGCTTCGAGGGACAACAGATTAATGGCTTTCGCAAGCTTGCCAAGTTAGTGAAATACATAAAGTGTAGCTACTAACCTCATAATGTGTATACTATTAACCCTGTAGTTTCCCATGGGACATCCCGCCCATTGCCTAATATAGTCTGTTGTAATGGCTGCGTCTAAATGTAGCGGAGAGTTTTGTCTCCAACAGTCTTCCTCTGGCTGCTTACTCTTGGCTGCATCACCTGCAAGTCACTTTGCTGATCCTCAGTGCAAGAAAGAACGCAGTTGCTGCCAGCGCTTTGTTATAATGGAATATAGGTATGTGTCGTCGGTTATCCTTAGCAAAGGTATCGTGAGGAGAGGTTGGGCCCTTTCCCTGTTTTCAGTTAAGATGATGGTCTATCTGGGCCTAATGTAAGCGGATTCGGGCTCAAGAGCCGCCAGTCTAGATATCCAATTGTCATATCACTTTCGCACCTTTCCAGATAGAAACCGCCTTGTATAGATATCTAAGGCATGCTTATCCGACCGGTTCAATAGATATATTTAATGCTGAAGATTAGCAGACCTTCTGTAGGAGACAGCCGTTGCATTATAGTTAGATCAAGTCCCCAAACTATTCAAGTTCAAGGTCTCTATTCCTAACCCCTTAAGATTGCAGTTAAATTCAATTAATATAGACACAGAATTACCGCCTACGCCGCCTACGCCGCCTACGCCACAATCGTCACAGCAAGCAATCTTAGTGCAGACTATTAATAAGGTTTCACAAACAAGGGACAAAAACTCCACTTGTATTAGAATTGGTCTAAGAGCAGAGTTCTATATAGATTAGAGCTGTTGCAGGGTATTTACATTACTGTGTTGCAATGAAGCATAGTAAAAATGGGGGTTAAATTTTCTCATTTGATCGGTCGCATGCATAACTATCATGGGTTCACATTTCTAAACACTTAAGTGCTGGGTGGTCTTTTAAGAAGGAGATAGGTGTTGGCTGGCATTGATCAGTCCATTTATTATTAGACATAAGTTCCAACACAAAATCTCCAACGACCACCGCCTAGACCACCCCATTTAGCTAAGATAACCAGGATAGATAGCCCCAGCTGAGTGCTTGCGGCTAGTTTCGAGAGTCTCATCGCCTGACTAACATCCGCACCAACTAGAATGATGGCTGGTTGATCAAGCTATGTTACCTAATGAGCAGTGGAAAAGCTGCAGTATTGTTCTTGCCACCGCCTAACCAACATCTGCGCCAACTAGAATAACGGTTGGTTGACAAGAATCCTTCTTTATGAACCATGCAGGGCTCTAGACTGGAGCTATATTATTTGAGAGCTTTTATGGAAGTTTTTGACTTTCAGAGATGTAGGAAGAAGACCTTGAATCTTGTGCGCTGAGGGGCTCGTACTGCGAGGTCTTGGGGTTGACGGCCGGGGACCACTAGGAGCCTACTGCTAAAGTAGCAACGAACGTCCTATACAGTTAGTTGCCTCTTAGGGAACCACTAAAGCCTGTTGGTGTAATATATAAGCACAATAACCCTTTAATGTATCTTATATGCCATTTACAGTTGAGACCCTGATGCTTGGTGTACATAAATTCCCAAGTTCTGCTGTGGATTTATCTCTGTTAGTAGCAAGAAACAGGCCAATAGGCCTTTTTTTTACCTGAGTCTTGGCATCTAGTTCTCCTCCTTCACATTAGATCCTAACTGCATGTCCCTAAGGCTAAGTTGAGAACCCTCTTTAAGTTCCTCTGGACAGTAACGCAGTCTATTCCATTGGAGACTCCGTTGACTGGCTGATCCTGGACCCTGTTCCCCAGAGGCAGGAGCTAGTAATCTGTGCCTACTTGACCCAGCATTGAACAGCCTTATGATGTGTGGAGAAAGTGGAGAAGAGCCTCTAGAACGATGTCAAAATAAGGAAGTCATTGTAACAAGAGAGGTATCCGAGAGACTAGAGCAAACATCTAGTTATATCAGACCCAGCTTTTTGTTCTTTCTTCGTGTGAGATAACCTTGCTTGTCCCATCCTTCGGTTTCTTGATGGGGGGTTCTTGCATTTATATGCCTATTTCCCCTATCAGCATTTGCAACGTCTCTTACTAGTCAAATTCTTCAACTTTACCTAATCCACAGTCTAACGAGACAAACCATTGAAAGATGTCTAAACTATCACTGTTCTAGCTATCGATATTGTTGTTCAATTTTCTTCACCGAGTCTTGAAACGATAGAGGAATGGGTTTGTAACGTCGACTATGCATCTTTAGACCTTTACTTGGCAGTCAAATCACAATCACGTCCAATGGTCCCATTAAAGTTGGCGTGGGATGTAGCCCAGTTTAACCATAGTGATGTAACGCTAATTGCTACGTCTAACCGTTCCGCAATGCATATTGTTGCAGAATCAGTATTATGCCAAGATGATGCTGAATGTAATTATGAGCAGCCTGGAAATGGAACGATGAGATAGTTTGACCTACTTATCGAGTGCAATTTGTTGCATTACGAAGAAACTGTTCTTTTTAACTATCTTAGGCTCTATGCTTGCAGACTCTGCATCAGGAAATAAATACCCTGTGCTACTAACTTCCACAGACCCACTATAAACTGACGAGTCTACCGATATGGCTCTGGCTGCACATATAAACACTGCTGTTAGTGGCTGAAATAACTCGACTTTCTACAAAAGCTTAAACGAATACGCACAGTCCAGTACGATACCACTAGACAGCAGCTTAGGTATTGCAGCAAATATACATACCGAGAAGAGTTTCGAAGATAGCCTCGAAACTGCTCTGTGGTACCTACTACCTACCCTGCTCTTTGAAAACTGCTTTTTACGCGAAGGTATGGCTTAAGCAAGCACTATCGTCTTTAGTTCGAAGATATCCTGGTCAAGCCCCTGGGTGTGCCTGGTCACATGAAGCAGGCGGCGAGGCATCTGCCATAGTAGGTTTTACCAGAATAAAGGACGAAAATTGACATAGAAGAAGTCACAATTCCCCCACTCTCTGCTCCGCCTGCTAACTGTTGTTTTATTACCATAATAATATAAGAGATCACTATTAGAGACTTCACGTCAGATAAGTCAAGTACTATTCAAAAGTGACGGTAGCTATCGTTTGTCCTTTCCTTTAACAGATTTTTACTGGATTACTGATTAGGATTAAGCTGTTTAATTGATCTTGCGTAAGATGAAGGATTTACAAATCAGGAGCTTATGTACTTGTATTAATACATACTAAACTATATAAATCTATCTACAGAGTTGAAACGGACGTTTTATTTTGAGGAATTAGTGAGTTGGTTAGTTTAATTCCAATGTTATAGCTCTATATACGCTTTAAAGTCTTATAGTGACGACTTAAAGTAGATTAGGAGAGTAAAGTATAGTAGGGGGTTTCAGATAATGGCAACATAAAATGGACTGGAGCCGCTTGGCGCCGAGGCTATAGTCGTAGACTCCTTAAGCCTTTTGCACGTCTCCTTTTTATTATCTTTCCTAAGGGCTATGTCATTATTCATGATACTAGGTGTTTTCTACATTGGATTTCCTGTTGCGGCAAGCAGCGTGCCTTTGGTGCCCCCCTCTCATCTTTGTCGTTTAAGGGCTAGTTCATCCTCCTCGGAAGCTATCACTTGGCTGTTGCATGAGAGTGTCCCTAGCTGTGGCGAAGAGCGATGCTAAATTGCCTTTGTAAAACCACTAAGTTAACAAGGTGTTGTTCTACCCTATTGCAGTCAAAGCTTACCAAGATCCCTTATAACTTTGGCCTAAACTGCTCTGGTTTAATAATACGACTGACAGTTTTTACTCTGTGTAGAGTCTTGACTTCTAAACGAGGTTTCTACGTATAATATATTGATAGGCGGACAAGATTTATCTGTAGGGTAATAGTAAATATCAAAATGCAATCGCAAAGGCATAGATCGTATGGTTGTCAGATCTTGAGGTCAGTCATAGAAGGGCAGACCACGTTATCTGGGCGCTGAACTAATACACTAAACATATTCTACCCGCTGACAGTGTGTAGTAGGTCGGTCAATGGCGGTACAACCGGCATCAACAGGCTGCCTAGCGTGGGCCAAAATGATGCAGGTATTCAGCAAAGATGTCAAGCATGCTTGTTTGAAAGCGTAGGTCAGTTCACGGTTAGTGGTGTTGATGTTACAGTGGAGTCTGACACAAGCGACTGTGGATTGGTTTTTGTAATTTCTTCTACATGGCACCTCTAGCGCAGCCTATCTGACTATCTTTAAGAGGTTAGGATGTTACTAATTCGATGATAGGAGAAGAAACGCGCAAGAATCAGACAGCCTTCATAGATTAAATGTCTAAGCAATAAAATACACGACAAGCATCGCCAGTCGTCTATATCGCTTAGCCTAAAACGCATCCTTCGTCACCGTGACTAGCAGACAATGCGTCGACCGACATTTTCAAGCCGTTAGACTGCCCCTCGGCCACAAGTTTCTAATTATCAGAAGCTGTGTTATACTAGGCATTAAAGACATCGCCTGATCCCCGATACGCCGGTCTAGTAGACCAAAGAAATTCACCCCCCAATACGAATTTTACTAGAGAAGAACATAGTAAGCAGCTAGACAGACAGACGCAAAGCGGTAGCGGCTTATCAATAAGCCCTGGTTTAACCAGGAAGCGGCCCGTTTTCCAAAGGTCAGACAAAGGTCTCAACAATGAACCTAATGACTAGAAGCGGAGACGCATATGATCTGGCCTCTAAACGACCAATTGCTTAGTTAGTGGTTATTTAGATACCTATACAGAATAGAGCTAAACGTCTACATCTAGAAAGAAACCTTTTTATTCTTCTTATTAGGATAAATATTACTACCGCCTAGCTAATATAGTATAGGTAAAGCAGGTCATTCCTGAATTCTTAGATAACACTTAGCCATTAACCATCCTCTAATAAAGCTTTGCGGGCACCCATTGATCTGGGAAGATACGCCAGAAAGGTTCACTTGGCGCAAGACACCCGACGCTTTGTCTTAGCCTTCACAGCCTGCGGATCTCTCATGAGAATATGGGCGTTTTGAACGGCTCAGGGGCATTGCATCCAGGTAATTTGGCATAAACAAAGATCGGCTGCAGTCTGTGTTGACAATCCTCGGGTTTCTCTGGATGAACAAGGAGCATCTTGGGTTAGATCCAACGTACTGGCAAACAAGGAGCGCTTTACTGCGATCAAGCGGAATGGCTTGACAGTGAATTATCATCAATGGGATCATACAACGCGTACGTTGCATGGCTGGCTGGGTGGCAACTTACTGGAAAGCTCGTTGCAAAGGCAACCTAGAGCAGCGTAGTATTCAGGACAACCAACTCAACTTTGGCCTCTAATTTGGTTAGTTGACTTGGCTGGGGGCACAAAGTCGTACGGATGGGTAAGGAAGAAGCCGCTCCAAGCACGACGGCATCGTCTCATGTCTCATCCCCAAGCCATTAAGCAAGCTGGAGGTAATTGACATTAATTAGCGCTTAATCGGCTCAACTTGACTTGCTGAAATGGCGCTGCCGGTTGTGTTATGTACACTTGACAGCGTTACGCCTTTGCGGGGATGTCACGTTGGTCAGCCTCCAAGCAGACATAAACGCTGATAGTGATATTTACCAAGTTGATCATTTCTAGTTCTGATGTCGAAAATGGACAAGACTTAGTGCAGAGAGACCCGAAGATGCAACATGTTATATCTGGAGTCACTCACTTGCCCTTGGGATGACTTAGG